GAGGCTGAGGCTGAGGCTGAGGCTGAGGCTGAGGCTGAGGCTGAGGCTGAGGCTGAGGCTGAGGCTGAGGCTGGCAGGCTGAGGCTGAGGCTGCAGGCTGAGGCTGAGGCAGGCTGAGGCTGAGGCTGAGGCAGGCTGAGGCTGAGGCTGAGGCTGAGGCTGAGGCTGAGGCTGAGGCTGAGGCAGGCTGAGGCTGAGGCCGAGGCTGAAGGCAGACTGAGGCTGAGGCTGAAGCAGGCTGAGGCTGAGGCTGAGGCAGGCTGAGGCTGAGGCTGAGGCAGGCTGAGGCTGAGGCTGGGGCTGAGGCAGGCTCAGGCTGAGGCAGGCTGAGGCTGAGGCCGAGGCTGCAAGCAGACTGAGGCTGAGGCTGAAGCAGGCTGAGGCTGAGGCTAAGGCAGGCTGAGGCTGAGGCTGAGGCTGAGGCTGAGGCTGAGGCTGAGGCTGAGGCTGAGGCTGAGGCAGGCTGATGCTGAGGCAGGCTGAGGCTGAGGCTGAGGCTGATGCAGGCTGAGGTCTGAGGCAGGCTGAGGCCGAGGCCGACGGCAGGCCGAGGCTGGAGGCAGAGGCAGGCTGAGTCTGAAGCAGGCTGAGGCTGAGGCAGAGGCAGGCTGAGGCTGAGGCTGAGGCAGGCTGATGCTGAGGCAGGCTGAGGCTGAGGCTGATGCAGGGAGAGTCTGAGGCAGGCTGAGGCTGAGGCCGAAGCTGAGGCTGAGGCCTGAGGCTGAAGGCAGAGGCTGAGGCTGAGGCAGAGGCTGAGGCTGAGGCTGAGGCTGAGGCTGAGCCACTGCGACTGTCATCGCGAATGCGACTACGACTGCGAGAACAGCAGAATTCTACAACTGGATTCTCATCTGAATCTTAAGGGGAATGCTTCCAGATATGCTCCTACACATCGCTGTTAGGTTGCTTTGCCGGGATAATTTATTGACACTGCCCGCTGCAAAGCCGCGCGTTGTCTATACGGGCAGCCGATCCAGAAACCCATGCGTGGCCCAAGGTGTTCGAATAATTTAGGCATGCTCTCGCGGCGACGCACGTGCTTGAAATTCGCCGCATTATTTCAGGACGGTGTTTGAAGACTGATGTTTTTGTTGATAAGCGAGCGCGCGCGGAATATTTTGCGCGGGATGAAAGGGGATAACCGTTTGCCTGGGATGGTGTGACTAATCTATAGGCTGGGTGATGGGCCAGGATCACACGTCCACCGCATTGCAAAAAGGCGCGCCGATCAGTCCGCGGGGGGAGGTCCGAATTTTCCCTTCGAAAGGCAAATCAACATAAAAGGATTTGGAGTTGTCAGCTCCGCTGCTCGCGCGGTCGCCCCACCCGCCCACCCGCGACTGGTTTGCAGAAGCCGTGCGGCGGCGATTGCGATGAGTGTTTGGCGTTGGCCTGTGCATCTCCGCGGCCGCGCTAGCCCGCGCGTGCTCGCGCGCGCAGCGGCCTGCTAGTTCGGCGCGATCGACGCAGCCGCGATGGCGCTGACCGCCGGGCACTTCCAGCGCGTCTCGCAGGCCGCGCCGACGCACGGGCACTTCAGTGCGAGCGTGTAGTTCGAGAGGGCGCGGTGTCACGGCGACGTCTACAGCGGTGGGCGGGATGATGATAGTGTGACGATGGCTCCGATGCCGACCACTCCGACGACGACGACGACGGCTCCCCCGCGTCGGCGATGAAGATTGAGGAGGGACGTCGGCACGCGCGCGCAGCCGATGCGCGCGAGTGGCCCGCAGGGTAGTACATGACAGGGGCCGCGCCGCCCCCCCGCTCCCCCCCCGCCCCCCCATCACGCGCGCAAGGGCGCTCGGATGATTTCGACATGTGCGCGCGAGAGGCCTGTTTGGGCGAATGCGATTAAGATGTCGAAACTAAAAACCAATGATTCTTTGCCGAAGTCGCAAGAGCGCGCGCAGACTTTCCCATGAGAGCCGATGTTGCCGAACCATGTGTTGAGCAATTGTTCGGGGCAACCGATTTTGAAACCCATGCGAAGCCGAAGATTCTGAAGGGATTCTGTCGCGCGCGCGACGACGCGCGCGCGCGCCGTCCGTCACAGCTGTTACAAGTGATTCTTGAAGACTGATGATTCGCTAGAAACGAGTGTCGGGCGTAATGTTTGTTGCGGAGGGTGGTTGGGGGTAGGGGGGGCGATGCCGGCCAGCTGGGCCGGGTTGGTATGAGTTCATATTCGGATTGAACGATGGGGTTGTTTTTTTTGTAAACTGCACATCCCCAGGGAGGGGGGCGATGATACCGCCCTCGATCCTATGCGCTGTTCATGAAGGAGAACCAACCTGCCGAACTCGAAGTTGGCGACCCCACTGTTCGCGCGATCCACCCACCCGCCCACCCGCAACATGGCTTGCACAACCCATGCGGCGACGATTGCGATGAGTGTTTGGCGCTGGCTGGCATCGCTGCGGTCGCGCTAGCGCGCGCGTGCTCGCGCGAAAAGCGGCCAGCTAGTTCGGCGCGGTCGACGCGGCCGAGGTGGCGCTGGCCGCTGGGGACGTCCCAGCGCGTCTCGACGCACGGGCACTTCAGTGCGAATCGGTGATTTGAGCGGGCGCGGTGTCATGGCGAGGTCGACAGTGGTAGACGCGATGATGATAGCATCGATGATGGTTGCGACGATGACTATGACGACGGCAATGGCAACGACGGCGCCGATGCTGATCACGCCGGTGGTGATGATGGTGTCCACGCTTCGGCGATGAAGATTGTGGACAGGTTTTGACATGCACGCGCCGCCGATTGGCGCGAGAGTCCCGCAGATCGCGCCCCACCCAACACGCGCGAAAAGGCGTTCGAATGATTGCACCATGCGCGCGCGAGAGGCCCGTCTGCTCGAATGACTTTGAAAATGATGGGCTCCTGTAGATTTCGCACGAGGGCGCGCGCACAATTTTGTTAAATTCGTGTTGTAAGTTCATGTGTTGGCTTATGTGTCTGGGACTTTCGATTTTGAAATCCTTGCGAGCGTGCGCGCGAGTGAGAAGCGGATGCGCGTTCCGATTTTACTGATGCAAAAGATCTTCAAATAATTATGTTTTTCTTAGCGATTGCGCGAGTGGTTTCTTTTGTTTTGCAAGGGATGAAGGGGTGGTGTCGAGCCCGGCCTGGCTGGGACGATATGAATTTACAGCATGAATCATCGATGGGTGGAGTCATATATCAACTGCACATCCCCAGGGTGAGCGGACGACCCTGGGGGGGGGCGCTGGTAGATCCAATTTTTTCTGAAGAGAGAACCCAATGTGGTGCACCCTAAATCGTGCAATCGTACGGGGCCGCGACGAGGCGGTGACGGGGCCGCGACGGCGACAACATAGCCGCCAGACCGACAGACAGGCCCAGACGACGGGCGGCGACGGGGCAGGGACGGCGGCTACATAGCCGCCAGACAGGCCGTCAAACCCAGACGAGGGCGGCGACGGGGCGGCGACGGCGGCTACATAGCTGGCAGACCGGCCGTCAGGCCCAATTCTGTCGAAAAGAAGTCAGAACCCCTAGATGCAAGCACTGGTTTGGGAATCGTGAGAATGGATGGAGGGAGGAGGAGGAGGAGGAGGAGGAGGAGGAGAAAGAGGGGAAGGAGGAGGAGGAGGAGGAGGAGGAAGTTGCCGTCCCCCAAAAAGCTTGTTCGATTCTTTCGTCGAGCTGTTTCCTCAGGGGGGGCAGGAGAGACGCCCCACCCGCCCTCCCTCCCGCCCGCGCTGGGCCGCTGCGAAGGGCCAGGGATCGAAGACTTCCAAAGTTGCGGCTCGAACTCAATTCTGAAGGTTTCCCCCCCATTTCCGGGGCGCTCTAGAAAGGGCCTCGCCTTCGTCGGGGGCGGAAAAGAGGGGGGTGATGACTAGGGGGGGGTGGATATCATGGCGGGGGCCATGATATTTCTCCAGATGTCATGGCGCCTCTTCTCATTTCATTACGTCCCTGGCCCCCCCGCTGGGCCGCGCACATGCCGCCAGTCATGATTTGCACCCCCCCCCTCTTGGACACCCCTCTCTTGGCCGCTCCCGACTTCGCAGATCGAAGGGTCTTGACACCTCTTCCTCGGCGGAGGTCGGGGGAAGTAAAAGTGCGCCCCTCTGGGGCGGGGCAGGGTTTCTGGAGTCGGCCACCTGGGTCTACACACAGACATCTGGCAGCTCTGCTTTTCCGACGAACGGCTCCTCGGATTTCTCGACCTCTTCCTTGACTCCCGATCAGCCGTATCCTTTGCGATCTCGCAAGTAGGGCAGAGATGTATCTCGCAAGTAGGGCAGAGATGTTCGCCGTATGCTTCAAGTTGCTTTAGTGCCGATGTCCGCCCTACTTCGCCGTCGCTGTCTCCGCCATACCTTTGCGGAAATCTCCGCCTTGGCTTCTGAGGCGGAAATGTCCGCCCTGTTTGTTGCACCTTACGGAATGAACCAGACACAGCTTCAAGTCGGAAAATCAACCAGAGTACGGAGGATCTGGAGCCAGGGTTCTACAGGGCTGGTTGTTCTCTTCGAGCCGTCTTCTGACGATGCCGAGGGGCAGGAGAGGGCCTCGAGGCCAACTGCAACGACAAGCTGGCCGCCCCGATCTTTGTGGGCGAAGCGACAGATGCTTGGGCAGTTTTTTTACCCCCGATGATGGAGGCTCGGCCTCCAAAGTGGAGGTTTCCAGTCCTCTGGTGAGGAGGAGCTCTTTTTTGGGGGGCGAAGCGACAGATGCTTGGGTAGTTCTTTGACCTCCACTTGGTATCGGTCGGACGTGTGCACTTTTTCTCGACGGGGAGTATTAAGGAGCATCCTGGATCATCCTGCGAAAAAGCCACGCACGAGTCCGAAAAAAGCACAGGGAATGGACGTCCGAGCGACGGGGAGTCCAATGATGGAGGTTCGGCCTCCAAAGTGGAGGTTTCCAGTCCTCTGGTGAGGAGGAGCTCGCCACCAAGACCAAGGCCAAGGGGCGAACGGGCGAGAGGGCCCCCGCGCCCAAGTCCAGGGGCAAGAAGAAGTAGTGAGGCCCTTCTCCGTCCCTCCCAGTCTTCATTCCTCCTCGTTCCGCCTCTTCCTCCTCCTCCTCATCCTCCTCCTCCTCCTCTTCATGATTCCCTTCGGGGGAACGATACAGGGAAGACTAGCATGGCCCGTGCACAAGGATGACACGCGCAATCGAGAAGTTGTGGTGTACGATGTTCAACCAAGTAGGTATTGACGTCCTGGTCCAGCTGCCGATGTATAATAACCTCGAGCTTCTCACAGAACATGCGAGACTGGAGCTGGGCACACGTGTCAGCAAGTTAACGAGCATCAAAAGTACCTAACAGAACACCATGACAGAAGCGACACGGCTGACTTCCAATCACTTGATTAGCTTATTTGGCTGTAAGAGACATCACGCCGCCGTCGGGGCGAACTCACTTAATTTTCGGTCAGTCTCACGTGCCATCTGGCGCAAGGACCCTGCTCTGGCTCACACTGTACATGAAACGTTTGAGATTGGGAAAGCGGCCCTCCATATTCAGGACCACAGGGCTTCTTTGGTGGACGAGCATAAGTTCGCTGAGGACACGAGGATCGATCATGATCGTCACTACATATACCGCCAAGAACGCGCGCTTGCAGCTGCTCGACGGGCACGTCAGTCGGGGTGCAACATGGAAGCGGACTACCAGCAACGTCTTTCGAGAATCATGCAGAGGCGCAGCCAGGCGCGGGAACCGTTCTCTCGCATTGTTACGTTATTCGGCATCCGCTTCCACGGTCGTCAAGACCCCTAATGCATGGAAGCACTGCAGGCACATTGGTTACAAAACATTGCGCATAAGGAGGTCGACGAGAAAGGCCTTCAGCACTTTGTATCGCAGTTCGCCCTTTCAAGCGCGACTCCCACGAACCTCACCGTGCGCATGGCCTTGCGAGCTCGAGCATCGGCACCAGCTCCAGAACGCCTTTCCTACAGCGCGTGGGTGATTTCTTGTGGGCCTCTGGAGGCGCTCGAGGAGCTAGCACCTAGCGTGGTCATTGTCTCACAGGGGCACGCGCCCCCCATCTTCAATGACCCGATATTTTCCTTCATCCCGAAGGGCACGGAGGACGGCGACCTCCAGACGTGCACTCGAGAGGCTGGCAATATGCGCCCGGTCTCACGCAAGAACACCGACTCCAGACATCATCTGCCGCCGTCTTCTCAGCACCCCCTCAGCCTTGCTATCCCCTTCGCAATCCTGGCTAGGACTGCGAATCTTTGGCAGCCTGCGGCGAAGGCTTCGCGCGCCCGTCCGGCCGCCTCAGGAGCCGCCAGCTTGGTCGAGCGGGCGGCCGGGCCGCCCGGCAGTGCAGCAAAGCGATTGCGGGGCACAGGCCGCCTCGCCTCGGTCCGCATGTGCCTTCTGGGTGGCCTCCCTGCCCTCCTCAGGGTCGCATTGTCTCCTGTGCCCCCTGGATGGATTGTTCCTTTTCGTCTGTTCGCCGCTCCTCCTCCTCCTGCTCCTCCTCCTCCTCCTCCTCGTCCTCCTCCTCCTCCTCGTCCTCTCCTTCCTCCTCCTCCTCCTCTTCGTGCGCCCACTGGGTGGCACACAACACCACCCCTACCCCCCCTGCTTTCTCAGCCTTTCTGTTGGCCTTGCACATCTGCTCGGCTCGACTCCTCACCTGCCATGTGGATGACTTTCCGTTTCTCCTCTGATCACCTGGCCTCTTTTGCCAGGGTCACGCCTGCATTCCTGACCCGCTCCTCCTGATTAGCCTCGATATCCCTTTCCGCGAACGCGTTATTAATTTCGGGGTGGATCGCGTGGATGGCAACGTGCTGTGACCACATAGCTTGCATCATTTGGAGCTCCCCACGGGGGGGTAAGAGGCCCTGCTGGAAGCACCTGCGCATGGCGCCCATGGAAAACGGACCGAGCTCCTGGCCAAGTTCGTGGAGGTAGTACGAGTCCACCTTGTCTAGGATCTTGTCTGCTGTCCTGGCCTGCCCGTCCTTCTTGACCATCTTGGCCTCCTCTGCCTGCATTGGCCTCACCAGACGTCGTGGCCTTCTGGTCACCGCGGCCTTCCTGTCCACCTCAGGCTCCTCAGTCTCTAAGGCCCCCAGCTGGCCTTCCTGACATCCTCGGCCTGCTCTGCACGCCTCGCCTCCTCGTGCACACGCCAGCTGGCACTACTCAACCCAAAGGCCCACCTTCTCCCGCCTCTTCCTCCTCCTCCTCCTCATCCTCATCCTCCTCCTCCATTCCTTATCCATATTTTCTCCCTGTCGCACCCCGAGGCCCGTTTTTAGGGCGGGCTGGGCGTTTCGCTTGAGACGTCCTCACCATGTATGATTCTGAACCTTAGAAGGTTCAACCGTTTCACGGATTGAGGGCGGGTGGTTATCAAAATGTGGTTCCTGCTTTAGCGCCGCGCACATTCGTTTTGAATGTTTTGCAAGAGTTCCACGGATTGGGGGCTGGTGGTTTTCAAAATGTGGCTCTCGCTTAAGCGCCGCGCACATTCGATTTAACATTTCGCAAGAGTTTCACGGATTGAAGGCGGGTGGTTTTCAAATTGTGGCTCTCGCCTGAATGATGCGCGCATTCGCTTAAAACAGCATATTGATTTTCACGGATTGGGGGCGGGTGGTTTTCAAAATGTGGCTCTCGCCATAGCGCCGCGCACATTCGATTTAAACATTTGCAAGAACTTCACGGATTGAGAGCGGTTCTTTTTCAAAGTGTGGCTCTCGCTTTAGCGCCGCGCGTTTTCGTTTGTAAGATTTGGAAGAATTTCACGGATTCTCATGATCAGCGTAGCAGAAATGGTGTTTTGGAAGGATTCTGTATGTTGCGGGTGCAGCAGTTACGGCTCGCGGTGCTGAAACCCCAAAAATGGCGTCATGGGACGATTCAGGATCGTCAAGACGCAACAGTCAGGTTGATCCGTGGCGTTGAAATCCCGAACACAATGTTTTGGCATGCTTCCGGGTCTTCAAACGGTTGTTTTCTAACGAGGCAGTTCCCTCAATGGACATGAACCGTTGTAGGGGCATATGAAGAGGGAGATTGAAGGAAGGGTTCATTCCAACATCGTTGATGACTTTTGGGTTTACACTGGTCGTCCTCCTCCACCTCGTCCTCCTCCTCCTTCTCGTCCTCCTTCTCCTCCTCCATCCCTCTCCTTCAAAGCAATTTCTCTCTGTCGTACCCCGAAGCCAGTTTTTAGGGCGGGCCGGGCGTTTCGCCGGAGACTTCCTATGACCCTAAAGCTTAAAAATTGGCAACCGCTTCGCAGATAGAGGGCGGGTGGTTTTCAACATGTGGTTGTCGCTTTAGCGCCGCGCACATTCGTTTAAAAAACTTGCAAGAGTTCCACGGATTGAGGGCGACCCATTTTCAATACGTGACTCTCGTCTGAGCGCCGCGCACATTCGCTTTTTAAAAAAATGCAAGAGCTTCGCGGATTGAGGGCGAGCCGTTTTCAAAATGTGGCTCTCGCCTGAGCGCCGCGCACATCCGGCTTAAAAGTTGCAAGAGCTTCGCGGATTGAGGGCCACATGTTTCAAAATGTGGTTCTCGCCGCAGCGCCGCGCACATTCGTTTTAAACATTCGCAAGAGCTCCACGGATTGAGGGCGGCTCTTTTTCAAAAGGTGGTTCTTGCTTCAGCGCCGTGCACATTCGTTTTCAAACTTTGCAAGAGTTGCACGGGCTCCCATGACCAAAGTACCAAACATTGCGGTTTGGAAGGATTCCGGATTTTGCGGGTGCAGCAGTTATGTTGGTTCGCGGTGTTGAAGTCCATAGAATGGCGTTATGGCACGATTCAGGATCGTCAAGACGGAACAGTCAGGTTGATCCGTGGCGTTGAAATGCCGGAAAACAATGTTTTGGCATGCCTCTGGGTCTTCAAACAATTGTTTTCTAACGAACCGTTGTAGGGGCCCATGGAAACAAACCGTTGTAGGGGCCCATGAAGAGGGAGTTTGGGGGAGGGTTTATTCCAACATCGTTGATGACTTTTGGGTTTACACTGGGCGTCCTTCTCCTCCTCCTCCTCCTCGTCCTCGTCCTTCCTCCTCCTCCTCCTCGTCCCTCCTCCTCCTCCTCCTCCTCCTCCTCCTTCCTCCTCCTCCTCCTCCCTCCTCCTCCTCCTCCTCCTCCTCCTCCTCCTCGCCCCTCGGCCCTTTCGACTCTCCTCGCGGGTGGTCCGACTGGCCCCCGGGCAAGCGCGGGCCGCGCTCCGCCGCGCGGCCTCGCGGCGGTCGGAAGCGCTCGGCGCTCACAGGTGTGCGCGGCTGCGCCCCTCCGTCCCAAAAGGACGGCGTTTTTCCACGCACGAGGCCTACGCCATTCTCCGCAGCTGCCATCTATACACCACCACCGTTCCTGGCCAGGGCCACCCTGGGCTCCACGATGGTGTATAGACTCTCCTGGCCTCGGCCAGGAGGCGTATACACCATGCCAGGACCCAGGATGGCCCTGGCCAGGAGTGGTGGTGTTGTGTAGATGCCTTCTGTGTACATTCCGCCGACCCACGGAAGAGGGATGAAGTCAATGGGTGAGGCCTTTTCGGGCCGCCTGGGGACCCTCTGAGGGCATCTCTTGGGCCTCTTGGGGGCCTCTTCGGCCCTCTCGAAAGTTTCTTGGGTGCCTGCTGGCAATCTCGGGGGTCTTGGCGGAGCCGGAATCGCGTTTTTAACCCTTGGCTGTAGCTGGCGTCACCAGGGGACGGGCGGGAGGAGGGGGAGGGGGCCAGTCACGTCACGATTCGAGGCGGCGACGTTGTAGAATGCTAAGAACATGGCTGATTCCCAGACAGCGTTGGCGCGAATCGTCACTTGACCAGGGAGGAGGGCAAGGCCGGAATGGATTCAAGATCCGCGCTGAAAAACTGGCCTTGGGGAAAGGGCCAGTATTTCCGGGGATTGTGGATTTACAAATAACACGAGACGTACCCAACAGTTTCTCCACGCGAGGTGAATATTTGTATGAACGCTGCATGCGAGAACACATCGCCAGATACGCACGATCTGCGCTGCTCTCATCTCCGCCGTGTCTTCCAGGAGCCCACGAAAGTGGCAACAGTTGCGCAGTTTGTAGCCTGCCAGGGAGCCGCGATGTTTCGGCTGGATCCGCGTGGCCCCTGACTCCGCTGAACCTCCCAGGAGCCCACGAAAGTGGCGACCGTTGCGCAGTTTGCAGCCCCCCAGGGGGGCTGCGAGGTCTCGGGTACTCCACTACTCCGCCGTGCCTCCCAGGAGCCCACGAAAGTGGCGACAGTTGAGCAGTTCGCAGCCCCCCAGGTAGCTACGAGGTCTCGGGTACTCCGCCACTCCGCCATGCCTCCCAGGAGCCCACGAAGGTGGCGCCGGAATCGCGTTTTTAACCCTTGGCTGTAGCTGGCGTCACCATAGGACGGGCGGGAGGAGGGGGAGGGGGCCAGTCACGTCACGATTCGAGGCGGCGACGTTGTAGAATGCTAAGAACATGGCTGATTCCCAGACAGCGTTGGCGCGAATCGTCACTTGACCAGGGAGGAGGGCAAGGCCGGAATGGATTCAAGATCCGCGCTGAAAAATTGGCCTTGGGGAAAGGGCCAGTATTTCCGGGGATTGTGGATCTACAAATAACACGAGACGTACCCAACAGTTTTTCCACGCGAGGTGAATATTTGTATGAACGCTGCATGCGAGAACACATCGCCAGATACGCACGATCTGCGCTGCTCTCATCTCCGCCGTGTCTTCCAGGAGCCCACGAAAGTGGCAACAGTTGCGCAGTTTGTAGCCTGCCAGGGAGCCGCGATGTTTCGGCTGGATCCGCGTGGCCCCTGACTCCGCTGAACCTCCCAGGAGCCCACGAAAGTGGCGACCGTTGCGCAGTTTGCAGCCCCCCAGGGGGGCTGCGAGGTCTCGGGTACTCCACTACTCCGCCGTGCCTCCCAGGAGCCCACGAAAGTGGCGACAGTTGCGCAGTTCGCAGCCCCCCAGGGAACTGCGAGATCTCGGGCACTCCGCTACTCCGCCGTGTCTCCCAGAAGCCCACGAAAGTGGCGACAGTTTACAGTTCGCAGCCTTCAGGGGACTGCGAGGTCTCGGGTACTCCGCTACTCCGCCGTGCCTCCCAGGAGCCCACGAAGGTGGCGACTGATGCGCAGTTCGCAGTCCCCCAGGAAGCTGCGATGTCTCGGGTACTCTGCAACTCTGGCGTGCCTCCCAGGAGCCCACGAAAGTTGCGACAAATGCGCAGTTCGCAGCATTCCAGGGACTCCAGGGAGCTACGAGGTCTCGGGTACTCCGCTACTCTGGCGTGCTTCCCAGGAGCCCACGAAAGTGGCGATAGCTGCACAGTTCGCAGCCACCCAGGGAGCAGCGCAGGAGGATGCTGGAGGAGGGGAGGAGAAGAAGAAGAAGAAGGAGTCACTCACGAACGCAGTGCTCTGTTCAAGTGGCTTACGCCATTCCGCCGACCCCCCAGAAGGAGCGAGTGCTTGCGACGATCTTGGAAGTTATCTGGTGGGCCAGGAGCTTCATGGATGCATTTGATGGGGCTCGTGGGATGGATGCCTGTCAGGGGCCTCTTGGGGGCTCTTGGGGACACCTGGGGGGCCTTCTGGGCCTTCTTGGCGGCCTCCTGGCTCCTGGAGGCTTCTTGGGGACCCCTTGCGGGCCTCTTGGAGCCTCTTGTGGGCGCCTCGGGGGCGTCGGTGGGGCTCTTGGGGCCATCTTGGGGAGAAAGGCTCGAAATGTCAGGTCGTATCCCCATTCTTGGGCCCCTCTTAGGGTCCTCTTGGGGCTCTCTTGGGCCGTCTGGGGGAGCTTTTCGGCCGTCTTGGTGCCTTCTTAGGCTGTCATGGGGCTCTCTTGGGGGCCTCACTGGCCGTCTTGGGACGATCTTGGGAACCCCTTGGGCCGTCGTTGACGCTGTCAGGACGAAGAAGGTGAGATGTTCCCATGGGAATGGGCCGATTTTCGCTTCTGGGGGCCGGCGGTCCTCTGGGAGCATTCTTGGGCCCTTTTGAGCGCCTCGTGGGTCGTCTCGAAGCGATTTAGCGTCATCGTGGAGCTACCTTGGGCGATCTTGACGTTTCCTTGTGCTGGTGTGGAGCCGTTTTGGCGTTTTGTTTTGGACCTCATGCGCCGCCTTGGGGTTCTGGAGTGACTCCGGAGCCCCAGGGATGCATTTAGGAGTTCGTCCCCGCTCGTCCCCCCTCTCCCCAAAACAGCATGTTGTACCCCAGGGGAGGGGGAAAGGGGGAGGGGGACAGCTTAACGTGTCACACGCCTTCTCACCCCCCGCAAGGGGGGGTCGGCGGATTCCAAACGAGAACCCAACACAGGATGGTTGGGAAATCACGACGTCGCACGTCTGGAGGTCGACCGTCAGATCTGGGCGTGGCATCTTTTCACACCAGGACGTTTTCGCTTTATTCCGAGCCCTGGGGGCATCTTTTGTCGATCCGGCTCGGAAGATGCGCCAGAAAGATGAGGTCTGCGGTTGTGGTCGTACAGGCGGCCCGGATTAGTAGGTCGACCCTGCCAGATCAAGGGTACCCTTGTGTCCTGTGTCTCGCGACCCATGCTTCCTACATTATTGTGGCAATGTGGCCCTCGGAATTGTCTTGTGTCCTCTCGCGTGTCCTGTCCAATCGAGTCCGACTGCTTGTTCGCCACGTCGGATCTCAGGACCTGGGCGCTTCCGGCGGCCGATTGGGGCATGGGTGCCCCACCCCGCGCAGGAGCGTGCGGTGTCGACATCGGGGGCGCATCGTCGATCTGTCGGCGATGCATCGCAGAGTCCGAGTCAATGCTCCCCCTCCCTGGGCTTAAGTCGGGCCTGTCCCTCTACAGGAGGGACATTCAAAAATACCAAAAATAGTCTGGGGACTATTTTTTGACTATTCTTGAACATTTTGGGAGTATTTTTGGAGTATTCTTAATTTTTTGCCCAAGCTCCCCCTGTAGGGGGACAGGTCCGACCTAACCCTGGGCCGCCTGGACTCTGGATCCGCCGTCATCGACCCAAAAAACAAACGGCACCGCCCCACCTGCGGCCCTACATGTTCCGCTTCGGCCCAGCGGGGGCCGTAGCGCACACCACGCAAATACCCACGGTACATTCCCTGGTCTACGCCGAGCCCTTTGGGGCCGTAGGTTGGGTGGTGTCGCTTGCTTTCTGGTCCACGTGCCTTGGTGTGGGTGATTGTCCGACTTGAAACCTCATGCCGGAAATGCACCCCAGACGATGCGAAGAAGTAGGGCGGAAACATCCGCCTCCAAAGGTACATTCGGATAATCCCGCAAAGGTAGGACGGAAACGGCGACGGCAAAGTAAGGCGGACATGGGTATCATAGAAGCTCGTGCAGTAGGGCGGAAGTTTCCGCCCTATCTACGAATCGGCCAAAAAGCACAGCGGATCCGGAGTCAGGGCAGTCCCCCAGCTCTGGCCCGGAGGCCTCCGCGCCTCCGCCGCCCCGCGAGACTGCTCAGAGGATCGAACATGTCAAACTTGGAGGTTGAACTTCCAGTGTGGAGGCAAAGCGCTTCCAGAATGATAGGAAAACCGTCTCCACAAGGGAGGTCGGACCTGCATTTTGAAGGCTGGTTTCCCTTTAGATGGTCCGGCTGGCGTGGCCAGACGAGGCTGACCAAGCCTCCAGACCGCGTTCTGGTCAGGACTCCGAGGAGAGTCCAGCCGCTGTGACGAGGAGCGCCCCCGGGAGGCCCAGACAAGGCGAACCATGCCAGACACTTCTCGAGGTCCTGGGACCGCATCTGCTCGGGCCCCAGCGGTGCGGATTGGTCGTGCGTCCGCATGCGCAGAAGATTGGAAAACTCAATCTTGGAGGTGTAGTCGTCGTACGGCTTGGGGAAGCTGCCCTTGCCCTTGCCCTTGGTGCCCTTGCCCTTGCCGTTGGCGCCCTTGCTCCAGTAGGCGTCGGGATGTTGGGTTGCCCATTGGGCCGTCCATTGGTCGTTCCTCTACCTGTCTAAGCTTGCGCCTATCGCTGATATCGTGGGCCGCGTAAATGGGCCTCTGCTCAGCGTTCGGCTGGAGGTTGGTCGCCACGGTGCCGCCTTTGTGGGAGCTTGTGGTGGCTGTCGCGGTGGTCGTTGTGCAGTGTGGTGCGTTTCGAGAAGTTATCGAGCTGAGTCGAGCTGTTTCTGTGAGCGTTGGTCGAGTAGGTCGCGTGCTGATGCTACCCATAGCAGTGTGCGTGCTGCTGCTATCGTTCGCGGTCACGCTTGTGGGAAGCTGGATTATGGCTTGTCGTGGTGATTGTCGTCGCAGGTGCCGACATGGCGTAGTGCGAGTGCTGGCGTCACCTGATGTACGGAAGAAAGGGATGCAAGCGGTGTGGGGGAAGAAGGACGTAGATGGCCTGGCGTGGCCGGGATGTCGGCGCATTTGGCCTCCGACGCGCCTCAACCTCTCGGGCGGTCGCGGCGTCCTTCTCATCTTTCTCCTCCTCCTGCCCCTCCTCCTCTCAGGAGGGAAAGAAACACAGACACAATTAATCGTCGACTCCCCAGAAAATATTGGAAACTATGGGAAGTGGGGGGGAAGACAAAACCCTAGAAAATACGGGAACGTATGGAGTGTTTTTTATTTGTGTGTATTTATTTGTGTGTCCTGGGGCCCCTTCCTCCTCCTCCCTCCATCGGCGGGCGCCGTGATTTTTTCACAGCGTGGCCCCTCCGAGGTCTGGACCCCTTCCCCAGTCTGCTGACGGCCCCGGGGTGTCTGGCACGGGCCCCCCAGCGGCTGAGAGCAGCCCGCTGACCATCACAGACCTGCCGTCGTGATCTTGTCTCGGCGCGAAGACCCTGAAATCCAAGGGTGCGAAACACTTCCAACATCGCAACGACAAGTCACGACCTGAGCCCTAGACCCCATCTTTCCACCATAATGTTCGAGCCGGATCGACCTGCGATGGCCCTGGTGCTTAACACTGGGCGAAGACGCCCCGCGTGCGAAAACACAAAACCCAAGAGCGCCGCGCGCGCGGATCTTTTGGGAGCTACCAAGTTGCACCCGCTGAAATTCAAGTCCTTGATATCTCACAGGCTCCATCCTACGTGGTATTTCGCCCCAGACTGCAATCTACGTGTTGCAAGTCATTTCTGCTCGCAGTAAGTTGTCCACTCCACAGCTCGCGCAATCATCCCACCCACCCATCCGCAACTTGGTTTGCAAAACCCATGCGGCGGCGATTGCGATCAGTGCTTGGAGTTGGCTAGTGCATTTCTGCGGCCGTGCTAGCCCGCGCATGCTCGCGCGCGCAGCGGTCAGATAATTTAACACTACCAACACGGCCGCGGTGGCGCTGGCCGCTGGGCAATTCCCAGCGGACACTTCAGTGCGAGTCGGCAACTTGGGCGGGCGCGGTATCATGGCAACGTCGACAACGGTAGACGCGATGATGTTGGTAGCGATGTTGGCGAGGATGATGACAGTGACGACGGCAAAACCAATGACAGCGCCGATGTTGATCACGCCGACAACGATGACGGCGCCCTCGCGTCGGTGAGGAAGGTTTTGGAGGGACTTCGACATGCGCGCGCGGCCGATGCGCGACACTGGCCCGCATGGTGTTATTTGACACGGGTCGAGCCCCCCAGCACGCGCGCAAGGGCGTTCGAATGATTTCGACGTGCGGCGCGAGGGGCCCTTTTGGCCAAATTGCATGAACATTTTGAATTCGCAGGAGCGCGAGCGCAGGAAATTTTGAAAACGGATGTTGCCAAACCGTGTGTATTATGTGTTCGGGACATTCGAGCTCGAAATCCCTAAGAGGCCTAGGGTTTTGAAGGATTCAGGCGTGCGCGCGCGACGACGCGCGCGTATGGATTTCGCCCCATTTGTTGCAACAGACTCTTGCTGACAGCACGCGCGCACGGGCGTCCGAATGATTCCGATATCCGCGCGCGAGAGGCCCGTTTGGTCGCAAGTTATAAAAGTCATGAAAACCGATCGTTTTTCGGATAATTCGCAAGAGCTCGAACGCAAGCGTTTTTTCTTATGACATATGTTGTGGCATCATGGGTTTGTATATGTTTCGGCATGTTCGGTTTTGAAATCCCTACGAAACCTAAGGTTTTTGGATGATTGCGTAATGCTCGCGCGACGACGCGAGCGTGTACACTTCGTCCGCTTTTTCGCAAGGGGCTCTTGAAAATTTAACGGTTTTTGATGAACGAGTGTGCGCGTTTAGTTTTTTGGGCAGGGGACGAGGGGGGAACCGATATCGGCTTGCCTGGTATGGTACGGGTTCATATCCAGGATGGACGATGGGGCACAATCGTAGGTAAATATCAATACGGGAAAGGGAGCCGTTAAGTCCAGGGGGGGAGGGGGGAGATCTGAATATTCGAAAGAGCGTGTTCTACCGCTGCTGGCGGACAACCGGGGGGGGCACTGGTTTCCCAACCCCCCCCCCCCTCCTCGTAAACCAGGGGGGGGGTCACTATTGGTTTGACCCCCCCCACCCAGTCCATCATGAAACGGGGGGGGTCGCTACCGGCTCGAACCCCCCCCCCCCCTCTCACCGCCGGCAAATGATTCCCGCTCCTTGGGGCAGGTGGACAGTGATGGGGATATTGGGAAAATGGTGGGGACGGTGGTGGTGGGGACAGTGGTGTGGGGACAGTGGGACAGTGGTGGGAACGGTGGTGGTGGGGACAGTGGTGAGGGGACAGCGGGACAGTGGTGGGGACAGTGGGACAGTGGTGGGACGGCAGTGGTGGGGACAGTGGTGAAGGCGGTGGTGAGGACGGTGGTAGGACAGTAGTACAGTTGGGAGAATGGTGGGGACAGTGGGGACAGTGGGGCTGTGGCGGGGACAATGGGGACAGTGGGACAGCACAGCGGGACAGCGGCGGGGACAGTGGGGGCAGTGGGACAATGCTAGGAACTGTGGGGACAGCGGGACCGTGGTGTGACAATGGCGGGGAGAGTGGGGACAGTCCGACACTGGTGGGGGCTCTGGTGGGGACAGCGGGGACAATGGTGTGAACAGTTGGGACAGTGGGACAGGGGTGGGGACTGTGGGACGTGGGGACGGTGGTGGTGGGGACAGCGGTGTGGGGACAGTGGGACACTGGTGGGGACAGTGGGACACTGGTGGGGACAGTGGTGGTGGGGACAGTGGTGAGGACGGTGGCGAGGACGGTGGTGGGACAATGGGACAGAGGTACAGTGGGGACAGTGGTGGGGACAGCGAGGACAGTGGTGGGAACAGTGGGACAGCTTAGTGGGACAGCGGCGGGACCAGTGGGAAAATGGGACAGTGGGGACAGTGGTGGGGACAGTGGGACAGTGGTGGGGGCCGTGGGGAAAGTAGGGAGAGTGGGACCGTGGTGGGAACAGTGGTCGGGACAGTGGGGACAGTGCGACAGTGGTGGGGGCACTGGTGGGGACAGTGGGGCCGGTGGTGGGGACAGTGGGGACAGTGGTGGTGCGGACGGCGGTGAGGACCTGGGAGTCGTTTGCCGGCGGTGTTTGGGGGGGGGTTCGAACCGGTAGTGAACCCCCCCAGTTTTTTGGAGGCGAGGCGGGGGGAGGGTTTGAACGGGTAGTGACCCCCCCAGGTTTTCTGGAGGAGGGGGGGAGGGTTCGAACTGGTAGTGACCCCCCCTGGTTTTCCGGACGGGGGGGGGGAAGGGGTTAGGTGGGGGGAGGGTTTTGCCGGGGGCAAAGGGGGCGGGGGGGGGTCCAGCAGAGGGGGGGGGATTTTCGAAGGAGAGGGGGGGGGGGGGGGGAAACCCGGGTTCCGGAGGAAGAGGGGGGGGGATTTTCCACAGTAAAGCGGCGGTGGATCACGCTCTCTCTCTCATATTTGTTTAAAAAGGTGGATCTATAAGATACAACATGTGGTGTGCAGTCTACGTGGTGCAATATATGTTGTGTAGCCCATGTGGTGTATTCTATTTGTAATGGAACCAATATGGTGCAACCTACGCAATTCCATGTATGTTGTTCAAGATATGTAGTGGACTCTAATCTAAGTCGTGCAATAGATGTGGCGCAACATATGTTGTGCAATCGATGTGGTTATATTTGTGTTGTGCACCCTGTGTAGTGCAATCTATGTGGTGCAATTCACTTTCACCGTCTTGAAGCTGTCCTCTCTACTGCTCGTGCAAACATCCCACCCTCCCACCCGCAACTTGGTCGCAAGACTTCTTAAGACAAGACCGTGACGGTAGGTACCACATGGTACTTGGCCACGACACCGACGACGACAGCGACAACGACGACGATGGCGCCGCCGACACCGACTACGACGACACCGCCGACGTCGACGTCGACGAAGACGGCGACGACGCCGACGCCGACGACGACGACGAAGACGACGACGACGTCGCCAACGAAGACGACGACGAGGGAGGAGGGAGGACGACGACCGCGACAACGACGACAACGACGATGGAGGAGGGAAGACGGCGACGGCGAGAACGACGAAGAAGGAGGAAGGACGGCGACGCCGACGACGATAACGACGAGGGAGGAGGGAAGACGACGACGAAAACAACGACGACGAAGACGACGACGACGACGGCGACGAAATAGGAGGGACGACGACGAGACGCCGACGACGAACGACGACGACGACGACGACGAGGGAGGAGGACAACGACGAGGGAGGAGTGAAGACGACGACGACGACGACGACGACGACGACGACGACGACGACGACGACGACGACGGCGACGAAATAGGAGGGACAACGACGATACGCCGACGAAGACGACGAGGACGACGACGAGGAAAGACAGACGACGACGACGACGACGACGACGACGACGACGACGACGACGAGGGAGGAGGGAGGACGACGACGACGACGACACAAGAGCGCGCGCACACACGCTTTTGTTGAAAATCCGTGTTGCGAAACCTTGTGTTTCTGTATGTTTTTTGGACACACGATTTTGAAATCTTTCCGGAACCGAAGGTTTTTGAAGGATTTCGGCATACACGCGCGACGGCGCGCGCGTCTGCACTTCGTCCCGTTTTTTGCACAGGATTTTCGCGACGGCACAGGCGCAAGGGTGTTCGACAGATTTCGACATGCGCGCGCGCGAAGCCCGTTTGGTAGCAGTTTGTGAAAATCAAAAAAAACTGTGGTTTTCTAAAGATTTCGCAAGGGTTCGCGCGTAAGCTTTTTTAGCAAATCGGTGTTGCGAAACCATGTGTTTTTGTATGTTTTTTTTTTTTGGAAATGCAATTTTGAAATCTCTCCGGAACCGAAGGTTTTCGGAGGATTTCGGCATGCGCGCGCGACGGCGCGCGCGCGCGCACTTCGTTTCATTTGTTGCGAGGGATTCGTGGAAAAGTGCGATGTTAGAACAAACAATGTCACCGCGTTGTGTGTGTTTTTTTACCAGGGAACCTCAGGGGGGGGAAAACCGATTGGCCTGGGACATTGCGATTTCAAATTTAGGATGGACATGTGGTCATAATCAGGTGTGATTTACATACCCGAAAGGGGTAGCGATAACTCCGGGGGGGTAGATCTTATTTTGGTTTTTTAATGAGAATCCACCATGTGCAATCCACGCGGTGCAGTGTATGTTGTGCAAGCTATGTGATGCGATACTTGTGGTGCAATCGTTGTTGTGCAATCTATGCGGTGCACTCTATGCTGTTCGAACGAGGGCGGCGACGAGGCGGCGACGGGGTGGCGACGGCGACAGTGTAGCCGCCAGACCTACAGACAGGCTCAGTTCCTCAGAGGAGAAGTAAGAACCCCTGAGAACAAGCAGTGCTTGAAGAATTGCATCAGAAACGCATCCCACATGATGCGAGAAAGTACGGCAGATATTCCCGCCTTAGGAAAAAAGGGAGGGCATTTCTGCACACGCACGGCGGCAACAGCGACGGAAAAGCAGGACGGATACCTGCGTCAAATGAGCCTGCCAAGCAGGGCGGGACGTTCCGCCGTGCTCACGACGCCGCCCAGGAAGCATGTCGCGGATCCGGAGTCGGGGCCCAGAGGCCGAGTCGTCGTGAAAGTCCGTCGTGGTCGTGGCCCTCCTGGCCTCGGTCCTGCCTCGACGCAGTTGGGCGGCCTCCAGCCCCGCGCGCGGCGCCCCGGGCCATGGCCGACGAGCCCGCCGACGCGGCGGCGGCCGCGGAAGGGCGGAGCACGCGGGCGGCGAGGGCGGCGCAGCGGCGCGCGGTGGCGGCGCTCGGAGCGGGCGGCCGGCCGCGCGCGGCGCTGCTGGAGAACGCTTCCGCCGCCCCGCCCCAGGCATCCGGCGCCCCGGGGAGCCCGCAGTCCAGACAGGTCTATAGGTCTGGAGGGTTACTTTCTAGCACTGTGGAATGTCAAGGCTGTCATAAAAGTCTGGCTCCGGAGCAAGTATATTCTCCAGCGGCCAGGCTCCGGCGGCCTGCTGGTGCGGCGCTTCATCTGAACTCCTTGCGCTGTAATCGTATCTTCAGCGGACGCGCTGTGCTGCCACATTTCCGCGTGGACCTCGTATCGGCGGCGAGCCCGGTGGGGAGCCGAGGAGGAGGATGCTTTCTCAGAAGGCTTGGAAGTCCCCCCGCCTTCGGAGGAGTTGTCCAAGCCTGCCCCGAAGGCGCAGAAGACGCCTCAGAAGGCGCCAGGGCTTCTAAGAAGTCCCGTGCCGCCTTCTGAGAAGGACTTTTCTTTCTCATGCAGCCCGCCGCTCGCCGCCCACGGTCCTCCGGCGCTTCGGGAAGACCGTGAGATCCGGGAATCCGGGCGACGAGTTTGCGGACGTTCTCGCTGGGCTCCCGGAGGTCTTCCCGCCCCGGGGCGCTCTCCAGCAGCTGCTCCTCGCCGAGAGAGCGTGCCAGGGGTTAGGGAGGCCCCAGCTATGCACCCACACCGATCCTGACCAGGATCGCCCTGGGTCCAGGATCGGTGTACATGCCCCTGGGCCTAGGGTGAAGTCGGGCCCGTCCCTCTACAGGGGGAATATTCAAAAACAGTCAACAAATAGTCTGGGGACGATTTTGGGATTATTTGTTGACCATTTGGGAGTATTTTTGCAGGATTTTCATTTTTCGCCCAAAATCCCCCCGTAGGGGGACACGCCCGTTTTCAGCCTAGGATCGGCCTGGCCAGGACCAGTGCAGGTGTATAGTCGGTGCCCTCCGAGGGGTGCCCATGGTCGTCCCGGCCGGCCGCCGGAGGCTCGAGGCATCGGCGCGAGAAGCCGGCCCTCCTCCTCCTCCGCCTCCTCCTCCTCCTCCTCCTCCTGCGCCTCCTCCGACGACTTCCCTGCCTGGAGGAAGGGTCGGGGGTTCTCGCAGGCTTAGAGGTTGACACCAACACCAATTTCGGCGGTGTGCCTCCGCCGAGGGAAGAAGATCCCGATCTCGGCGATGGTGGGCATATTCTGGCTTCCAGGGTGGCCGAAATATGACCACCAGCACCGAAGCACCGAAATCCAGGATCATCTTCCCCATGAGGAGGCACCCCCCTGTGTTGGTGTTGGTGCCCATTTCTAGGCCTCCAAGGTTCTGGGGCCGCGCGCTAAACAAACAAAATCAAGACATCGCACGTCTGGGGGAAGCGGTCGGGCCCGAGGACCATCGCAGGTCGATGCGGCTCGAAAAATGCCGCAGAAGGATGGAGTCTATAGGCTCTGGGGCTCCCGGCCTGTTTTCTCGCGCTATTGCAATTTCTTCGCAACGCCTGATCTCAGAAGCAGGTCGAGGGCAGAGCACCCCAAAGCAGGACATGGCAAGCCAGGGCTTTGGCTGGGTTCGCCTCTGACGTTCCCCTGCAGGGGTCTGTCCGGCCCGTCCCCCGTTCTGGCCCCTCGGAAGCTGCCCCGGGGCCGTCAGAGAACGGCGCGGGATTGAAAGCTGGCCCTGAGGTGGGGAGGGGCTTCCGGGGCGGGGATTGATCAATAACCACCGCCTGGGGGATCGATCTTCTCGGACCTCCACGGGCGGTGGATGTGGATATATTCGGGCCCCCAGGGGCCACAACATATCCATGTCCACCGCCAGACGGGGCACCAGGATCTCGGTTCCCAGGCGGTGGATTTGGATACATCCCCGCCTCGCAGGAATGGCGAGGTTCGGGGGCCTCATCGGAAAAGTCGGGGCGCCAGATGTCTGGGGGGACCCTCTGACCCCCAGCCGCGGCGGTGGGCGGTCGAGTGCGGCGAGGACCGGAAGCCAAACCATGGCACGAGCACCATTTGCTGGAGCTTCGCGGGGCAGGCACGCTTCGAGCGGCAACCCCAGAGGCATCGTTAGGCGTGCTTCGTGCCGTCGTGGGGGGGAGGGGGGGTCATTTTTAGTGGCAGTGCGCGTCGTTTCAATGTGCTGGTCGAGACGTGATACCACGAGGTGGACCATGACGACTCCGGATCCGCAGTGTTCTAGTTGATGTTCCGATTGAGAATTGTCTCGGAGATGCGTCCCAAGGGATGCGAACAAGCAGGGCGGACCGTGTCATCAGAGGGCGGCGATTTCAGCAAAAGTTTGGAGGAAACAGCGACGGCAAAGTAGGGCGGAAATCGGCATCAGAGGGGCCTGAAAGGTAAGGCAGACTTTTCCGCCCTGGTTAAAAATCGCCCAAAGTAGGGCGATCCGTCAGGGAAGGGGGCCCATCGCCGACTGGGCCTCATGGGCCTCCGAAAGTTTGCGGCTCATGCCGCCGTCTCAAAGATCTCTCCGGAAAGCCCCCGTGGCCTGGGCCCGAACACGTCGACGGCGTCGGCGTCCTGGTTTCGGACGCCTTCCCAGGCGTTGCCCTGGAGGCTCTCTCGGCGCCACGGTTGGGCGCGGCTCGACAAACCACTGGGCATCGCTCAGACGTGTGCATTGTTTTCGGCGGGGACCATCAAGGAGCATCCTGGACCATCCTGCGGAAAAGAAACGCACGAAACCGAAAACAGCACTGGGAATGGGCGTCCGAGCGATGGCGCAAGACCAGCCAGGGCTAGATGCGCGCAAGAGTGACCCTTCGCCGGAGTGGCCTTTGGTGCGTGCCCACGGGGCCCCCTCAACATTAGCCTGTGGGCTTCGATTTGGCCCCTGCGCGGCCCCACTAGAGCCGCGCACCAAGGTCCACTCCTGCCCAAGATCGCCCTTGCGCGCAGGCGGCGGCAGGGGTGGGCCCTGGGAGGCCGGGTCCGGGGCCGGAGCCCAGCTTGGTTGCACAAGTGTGACCCCTCGCGAGATTCTGGCCCTTGATGCGTGGCTTTCGGGGGGTGGGCAGCCCAGGTACGCTTTTGGAGGACGATCAATGGGGAGGAAGCATGCTGCCAAATAACTTCCAGATGTCTAAAAGATGTTTCAAACATGTTGTTAATACGTAAGAAACATGTTTGACACATGTTTGAAACATGTTTTATACACATGTTAAACACATCTCTAATTCAACGAGAGGATTGTTAGAGTGTCCACTGGTCATGGCATCCACAAGATTGGCCCATGGTGTGTGGCTTTCGGGGAGGGGAAGCCCAAGTACGCAAGCCGCCACTGCCGCATCGCCCGGAAAGGTCGGCAAGCCGCGCATTATAAGGTCCTTCTCTCCGCGGGTGGCCTTCGGGCCAGGAGTCGGGAAGTTTCGGGCACCGCCAGAACGCCCTCGGCGAGGCGCAGCTGCCGGAGAGCAACCCGAGACGGAAAAGCCTTCGAGATCCGACGAAGAGTGCCCACAGAACACGATCCGTTGCCAAATTCTTGCGTGCAGCCAGCCCGTTTGGGGCGGTTCTCTCGGTGCAGCGCGGATCGGGCCACCCCAAACGGCGCGGTGACCACACCGTGTGGTGAGTCGATAGGGATTCGGGGTGGCCGCACGGTTTGGGGACTTGGGTCGGTCTCCGGGCGTATCTCGGGCGACCTGGGGCCTCCGAGGTTCAAGAACTGTGTGGTGACGGAACGCGCGGTGAGGTCTTTCAGGATGTCGAGGTGGCCGCACAGCCTGTCGGCATGGTGTTTCCTCTTCCCAAGGCTGGCTACGGTCCGCCAGAGTGTATTGCTTCCAAGCACAGGCGGCGTAGTGCTTCTGCTCCGTTGGCTCGCTGGTGCTACCGTGGAACTGCTCAGGCACCCCGCTCGCAGCAGTGACGCGTGGACTCGCTCGTTGGGGCTCTCCTCGTCGACCTCCCTCCCCTTCAACACAAAACTGGTGTGTCACGACACCGTTCCCTGAGGTCCGACGTTGCGGAAAAAAGTCCAACATCGCGAGCCTTGGACCCTGTCTGCCTGCGGCGTTTCTCGGACCGGATCGATCTGCGACGGTCCCGGTGCCCGAGCCTCGGCGACAGCGCCCCGTGTGACAAAATGGCAGCGCCCGTATCTCAGGGCCCCCCCCCCTCGAGCTCGGTTTTCAGCCCAGAACTCGGGCCTCAGCGGCCGTTCGGGACGACTCAGGCGCTCCCGGAACGCTCTCGGCGAGGCGCAGCTGCTGGAGGGCATCCCGAGGCGAGAAAACGTCCAGGAAAACTTGTTCCCAACCATGCTGTGGTGCTGGGTCGTCGTTTTGAAGAGACAGCGCCCCGCGTTCCTCTCCTCTCCTCCTCCCGCTCGTCCCATCCCTTGTGCTGACAGGGTTCGCATGTGGTTCCACCCCCATTTCGGCATACCCCTCACACGTTTGGTGGCCTCATGGGTAGATCCACCGAAGGCCCCAGTGACAAGATTCGCATGCGGTTCCGTCCCCAATTTCGGCACACTCCTCACACGCTTTTTGGGGAGCTCCACCCAGTGCCCCAGTGGCAGGTTTCGCATGCGGTTCGCCTCTGGCTCTGAGAACATCTTCTGGTCGGCCTATATATAGGCCTGCTGGGACGGCCAGCCCCTGCTCCAAAAAGAGGAGGAAGAAGAAGAAACAAACAAAAAAAAAAAGAGGACCTGTGGTCGGGCGCCCTGGCCGACCCGGCCGCCGGCGAGCCGATCGGCCGGCCGCGGGCCGGGGCTTGCGGCAGGCTCGTGTGGGACGGCTTCGCCAGCGGGCAGGAGGCGGCGCTGCTCCGGCGCGCCTCGGAGCCTCCGGGGGAGGGACGCCCCTGCTCCTCCTCCTTCCTCCTCCTCCTCCTCTCCTCCTCCCCCTCCTCCTCCTCCTCCTCCTCGACCTTCTGCTCCTCCTCCCCCTCCTCCTCCCCAGGAGGAGCCCAGAAGGGCCCCTGGCTAGCCCAAGAGGTCCCCAAGACGGCCCACGAGGGAGCCAGGACGACGGCCCCAAGCAGGGGCCCAGAGAGGATACCCTACGAACATTTCAAGCCCTCCCCTGACTCCGGATCCGCCCTACTTTGGCTTTTTTCCCAACTTAAAGTTGCGTCGGAAATCCACCTAGAAGAGGCCGAAAAAGTGGGGCGGAAACTGCTGCACCCAGCATAAAGTAGGGCGGAAATCCACAGAAACAGCAACAGAAAAGTAGGGCGGAAATTGGCATCAGCGGGGCTTGAAAAGCAAGGCGGAAATTCCAAGCCCTACTTACGAATTTCCCCGAAGTAGGGCGGATCCGGAGTCAGGGAGGCCCGGGCCAGACCTCCACCTCTGGAGGAAAGGTGTCCTTCGGGGGCGGCCAAGAGGGGGGTGATGACTAGGGGGGCGGGTGCCCTGATATTTCCCCAGATTTCGGGGCGCCTCTTCTTACTTCATTACGTCCCTGGCCCCCCCGCTGGGCCGCGCACGTGCCGCCGGTCATGATTTGCACCCCCCGCTCTTGGACACCCCCCTCTTGGCCGCTCCCGAGGTCCGGGGGCGCTGCCACGCCGTGGGGAAAGCTTGCTTTGACTTCGAGGAGGGATGCAGGGCCTTATCTGTAGGCGCGGGGCCTTATCCGTAGAGGAGGAGGAGGAGGAGGAGGAGGAGGAGGAGGAGGAGGAGGAGGAGGAGGGGGAGGGGGAGGGGGAGGAGGAGGGGACACCCCCCTCTTGGCCGTTCCCGAGTCCTGGTTCTTTTTCGCAGTTTTGTGGGGCTCCCCGGGGCCCAGGCGCGGCCCCAGGGGACCGAATGGGCGGGGGCAGAGCGGCGTCACCGCAGCGAGCGACGGCAAGGGGCGCGAGGCGAGCGGGCGTGCAGGGGAAAAAGGCACCCGGCTCAGCGAGCGGGCAGGCGAGGCTCGACGCCCTGCCTTCTCCGGTGGGAGGCCAGGCGGGGGCAGAGCGAGGCTGGCTCCGCCGGCGGACGTCGAAGTTCGCCCCCAAGAGATGACAGCTTTGTGAGGGGTTCAGGGTTTGGGGAGTCGGCCGGGTTCAGGGTTTGGGGTTCAGAAAAATACCCAAGAGATGACAGTTTTGTGAGGGGTTCAGGTGTTAAGGCCCAGTGAAGCGACCACCCACCCCCGCCCTTAAGTTTCGTCGCCCGGGCGTCGCCCGTGCGCCGGCCCTGGTTTGCGTCTCTGTCCCGAATCCCGGCCTCCCAGAGTACGTGGCCGACTCCCAAACCCTGAACCGTTCAGGGTTTGGGGAGTCGGCCACGCATTGTGTTCACCACACCAGCCTGACAGCCCAGACGCCTCGCGTCGCGGAGGAACACGACGGGCGTTTCTGCCGCTCTCGGCGATCGGCGGCCCTGACCAGGCCCTTGGGCCGTCAGAAAATGTACCAGGACGAGAAGCCGACCCTGGGGACGAGGTCGAGAATCTTGGGGTGGTCTACATGAAGCTATCGCGGCGTCTGAGGCCCCGCGAGGCAGCAAGGTCCATGCTGGGCGCAGGATCGGCGAGGACGGGGTCGGTGTGCACGCCCTCCTGGTGTGGCCACGGGGGTACGCACACACCGATCCTGGGCCCAGGCTACGCGTGCACCTGCCGTCGCGACCACGCCAGGAGGGCGTGCACACTGGCCCTGGGCCCAGGATGGGCCTGGCCAGCGTCCGCGCGGCGCGCATCCCCTCAGGAGCGCGCGTTCGAGGGTCTGCCGCACCAGGGCCTGGAGGTCTCCCTGGTGCCCGGCGGGCCCTCCGGAGGCCGGCTGGGACCAGGCGGTAGCCTGCTCGTGTCCGCGCTGCAGGAGCTCCAGGGGCGCCAGCTGTACACATGTACCCATCTCGGCCCAGGATCGGCGAGTGCGCCCTCCCCGCTTGGTCTGGAAGGCACGCGCACCGATCCTGGGCCCAGGAGTGGCCCGGCCGGTTCGGTGCAGGCGTCCTTCAATCGGGGATCACGAGACGGGGATCGGTCAGAGTGCCGGATCTTGCAGGATCCTGCAGAGCCAGGGGGGCATTGACCCGGGCTTGGGCGCAGGATCCTGCAGGACCCTGTAGGATCCTGCAGGACTTCGCCAGATCCTGCAGAGCCTGACTGACCCGGGTCTGGACTGATCCGGGTCAGTAGATCCCCGATTCCAGACTTCGTAACCGTTCCCTTCCCTATTCCCCGTTTAGTCCGGGGGGGAGGAGGAGAATGAGGAGGAGAAGGAGGAGGAGGAGGAGGAAGAGGAAGAGGAGGAGGAGGAGGAGGAGGACGACCCTCCCCCGGGACCAGCTTTTCACCCCGAGCCGTTCTTCGACGGCCTCCGGGGGTCCGACCCAGAGGCCGAAAGCAGCCCCAAGACTTCCGCGGCGATGTGGGGCACGACGCGCTGGGGCGAGGGCAGCCCCAGGCCTCCGACGTTTTGACTTGTTCCACGCGGGGTACCACTTTCGGGTCGGACCAGGAGGGCGGTGTTTTCCAAGCTTCCACCTCGTTATCCTTCTCCTCCTCCTCCTCCTCCTCCTCCTCCTCCTCCTCCTCCTCCACCTCCTCCTCCTCCTTCTCCTCCTCCTCCTCCTCCTCCTCCTCCTCCTCCTCCTCCTCCTTCCGTAGCCATTTTGGCTCAAGCCAACTTTGGGCTCGCAGCCGGGCGGCCCACCGGCTCGCGGCCCACGGGGGGGCGCGCCCTGCGGTTCAGCGTACCACTCTAAGTTGCAGAGCAAGCGGCATGCTGCGCGCAGGCGGCAACGCCGGTCAAAGGCGCAAAGGGATTGATAGGCGTCCTAAGACGGCGGTGAGGGCACCAGCCTTTGGTGTGGCTGCTAAGGACCTCACGTTGCGCGTAGAGAACGGATTGTTCGGCCGCTTTGCCACCAACAAGTCACAGGACGACCCCGCCGTCGCTTTCGCGGACAATGCGGCGTTAGTTCTCGGCATCTTTCACCACGAGAAGCAGGTGGGCTTCAGCCTCACTACGAATCCTACCCTCCATCTGACGACGGCCCACCCGACTGCGATCGACGAGGTGACATTCGCCCAGCAGGCTCTTGAAGCACCTTTCTCAGGCGTTGTTCTTGAGCACTACCTGAGGCAGGCGGCCAGGGTGTGCCAAGGGTCGAGTGCAAACAGCTTAGTCATTGCACTCGCCAATTGGGCGACGGCCGAGTTAGGCTACGCCAAGAACCCCGTGTTCTTTGACCCCGCCGACCCTTCCGACATTGCGCTGAACTTGATGATTCAGGAGGGGACCGTGGAGCGATCTTACCGGCGCAAAGATGGGTCTTTGACGGTCAAGCAGCTCTTCAAGCACTGCTCTAAGCACCACCAGCACGAGCACACCTGCATCCAAAGCAAGAAGACGTTCATGGGCGCAAGACCTGCAGTGCAGACAGCGGTTTACGAGGAGAACCTGCACGAGACCTCCGCTTTAAGTGAGGCATACGCGTACATAGGGGCACAGTCGACGGCGGCTGGCCTGCGCATGTCCGCCACCGGCCAGTATGGCGAGGTGAGCTTGGACAAGGCGGCGACCGGTATCAAGGATGGCGTGGTGGACGCGGCAGCGGCCACCGGGGGGTTCAACGACTTCTCTTCTCCGCAAGAACGTGGGCCGTACTACATTTGCACGCAATTTGCTCACTTCAGCCACTTGTGCATGGCGCAGGAAGCGCTCAGGGTCGGGCCGGTCAACCCGAACGCGTACATCTTCGTGTGCAGCTCCCACTTCGCCGACTACCGGGTTGCGTTGGCGTCGTGGCTAGCGCCCCCGGTGCCATTAATAGACACTCCCAGGCGCGCGACGGGCCTAGCAGGCTTAAGAAACAGTTTTCGCTCACTCGAGTACGCAGAGACCCTCGTGAGCGAAGGCGCGGCGTACTTTTACGCGGAGTTGCAAAGATCGATCAAACACTTGCTCGTGCCCATGTCGAGGCTCATCCCATTCCGCTACTCGCTTCACCCAAGCACGATGGGACTATTAACCAAGTCCATGCCCGAGTTGGCCGAGTTGCTCAAGGGCGCGAGCATGGCGTCCCACCGCAAGCACGTCGATCGCATTTCCGCGTTCTACTCGGCCAGGGAGGAGTCTCGAACTGGTATCAGGACGGAGGTGCGCGCAGACGAGAAAGCCCAGATGAAGTACGAAGAGATCGCCCGGCAAGGTCAGCAGTTCGGCACCGCCTTGAAGAACAGAGCCGCTGACTCTGAGATGTTGTCTTGGGGCCTGAGCCAAGTCGCCTCCGCCGGCGTGACCGTCGATGGGGCGCAGACGCCTGAAGAGTTCAACTCGCGCGTTGCCGCTTGCAACGCCAGCTTGCGCGCCGCAGGCAAGGCCCGGGTGCCAGCGGCGCAGTTGGGTTCGCTTCCCGCACCCGAGGTCAGCGCGCTGAGCATTCAGGCCATGCAATTGTCCACCGCGGGTGGCGCATCTGCCGCGCAGACCGTGGACGAGATCATGGCGCGCGCAGATCCATTGCCAACCAGTCGTAAGAAGCGCAACACAGCGGCCGGGTACAGAGAAGAAACTGGGGAGACAGGAAGCGAGATGGTCCAGCCGGGGCACTACGACCCGACAGCCGTCGCATGGCAGGCAGGCTTTGGCGACGCGCACGGCTACCGCGACGACCGCGATGAGTGGCAATTTGGGGACAACGGCGCCGGCGCGGCAGGTGAAGAGGACAAGTCCAAAGATGCCCCAGTGGCCGCATCGCCGCGGTACTGGGATGAAGATACTGAAGGGGGAGGTGCGACTCGCAGCCCAAGCGGAGAATGGCCAGAGGCAAAGGCGAAGGCGACGCCTAAGACTACCAGCAAGAAGAGCGGCAAGAAAGCAAAGGCCGGCGGGAGCAAGAAGAAGAAAAAGAAGAGCGCGGCAGCCAGCCGCCCGCCGAACAGCTTCCTGCAGCCCCAGCCTCAGCATGCGCGCCTTGCGCTGGACAACAGCGCCCGTCAGCAGCAGCCTTTCTGGAAAGCACTCTTCGATTCCATGCTCGAAATCGAATCCGACTTACCGACCCGCTTCAACAAGTCCGACTTCTCCGCCTCAGCGATCGACCGCGTTTTCACCAGCCTGCCGCCCCATGCCATGCTCGAGCTCACATCGCAGATCAACTTTGCACGCGACCCTGCCATCCTGTCAGACTCCTTCCTCGGCGACCATGCGATCATCTCCTACACCATCGGCATTAAGCCGCGCACGCCGACGAACGACCAGGCGATCCCCCCCGCGATCTTCCGCGACCCGAACTACGCCAAGTACCTGGACCAACTGTTCACCCACACCAAGACCCAGCACGCTCCCATCCAGAACCGCTGGCGCACGCACAAGCGCCTCATGGTCGAAGCCGCGAGGCTCGTCCGCGACGACTGGGTCAGCTCCACCGGGGACGGCAACAAATCCAACCACGCCGACGGACGAGTCCTGACGGCGCGCTCGATCTCTCGCTCGGTCTGGCGCCAGGATGTGGCTCTCGCTCGCCGCCTTCAGTCCACCACCGAGCTTGGCGCCAAGTACCTCTCGATTACCGACGGCTTCATCACGATCATCAACCAGCCCGAGTTCGCTGACATGTCAGCCTCGCTCCACCGCGGCTTCGAGGCTCGGCAACGCTCTCTGGCGCAAAGAGCTGCCCAGCGCCCCCCTGGCGCGGCAGGGGCCCTCGAGCCCGAGAGACTCCGTCGAATCTTGCGCGCCTCGCAGAGGCGGGCCCTCCTTTGGGACCCTTGGAAGCGTCGTCTGGTCCTCCAGGGCATCAAAATCTCGGGCCCAGATGGCCCCCCTGGGGTCGCCAGAGAGAGCTGCGATATGGCGGACGCCCTTCTTCGCACACAAGCTCGTCGATTCCGTCAAGGTCAAGCAGTACATTGCCGAGCACATGCCGCTGGGCGCCACCATCGACGCGGGCGCGCCGACCAAGATGCAGATCCGCGCCTTCCTGGCTCGCACCTCTCCGTCGGCGCCTGGCCCCGACTGCCTTCCATATCGCGCTTGGCTCGCACACGACTCGTCGCTGGACCTGCTCGAGGACCTCTCGTTCCACCTCTGCTCGAACGCTAATTTCATCCACGACCTGAACGACTCTGACTTCGCCTTCCTGCCGAAAGGGGACAACCTCGTCGGCGAGTTGCAGACCGACAGGGCGCCTGAGGACACGCGCCCGCTCTCGCTCAAGAACACTGATATCAAGGCCATCGCTGGCGCCGCCAACTTTCTCCTCAAACCCGCTGTGGCAGAGCGGACTCACAAGGCACAACAGGGTTTCGTAGTCGGCCGCAACTTCACCAAGCACATTGTCATTCTTGACGCCGAAATGCGCCGCGCTGGGGTACGTCCTGATGCTGCTGATCACCACCCTGTCTTCACCAGCTTCGACTTCGCGGCGGCGTTCCCGTCTTTGGGTCGGGACTGGCTCTTCGCGACTCTCGAGCGCTTCGGGGTTCCCATCGGCCTCATGAGCCTATTCCGCAACCTGTACCACGCGCCGAGCAGCTTCCTCAAGGTCGACGGGATCCGCCACTTCATGTTCGCCATCGAGTCGGGCGTCGCGCAGGGCTGCCCCGCAAGTGGCTCTGCATGGGCCATCGCGATGGACCCGCTCGCCCGCCACCTCGCCTCCTTCATCGAGAACCCCGACGGCGCGCCCGACTTCGACAAAGGCTACCTCGGTGTCTGCGCGGACGACACTGGCCTGCTCACATGCTCGTTCGACACGCTGCGCAAGGCATCTGAGCTTTTGTTCTGCCGCAGAGGAGCTCGCGCTTCTCGCCCTCAAACCACGCAAGTGTGTAGTCGTGCCCCTGTGGGCGCCCGTCTCTCCTGCCACCACAGCCCAAACGAAAGCGCTCCTGGCTGACCGTTGCCCTTCCTGGGGTGGCTTCACGATTTCGGGGCGAGCCAAGCACCTCGGGACCTTCCTTGGACCTTCCTCCTCTCTTGCCCTTCAATGGCTCGCCCCAGGGCAAAAGTGGTGGCAGCACATTAGTTTGCTTAATCTCGTCCAGTCTGGCAGCGAGGCCACTGTTCGCCTATATAACACCTCCGTCCTGTCCACGCTCAGCTACGTTGCTCAGTTCTTCCCGCTCGATTATAAGATTGCTCGCCGCGAACTGCATGTCTTCCACAAAATGCTCAGCATGCCGCCCAACTCTTTTCGCAAGGTTGATCTCATTTCGATGGCAGAATGGAGCCCGCCACATGTCCTTCGATCAGCCCAAGTCACATCTGTCGCTGCAGCCATTCGCACAGCCACTTTCACACTCCGTGGAGAATGGGAACCGTTCCTCCACCGCTTGCGCGACACCGCCTGGGAGGAGAGCACGATCCATTCCTTCCCTCGGTGGGAAGCTGGGCGCTGCCCCCCCCCCCCCCCCCCCCTTCGGGGAAGAGACCTCGCCCATCGTGCAATTCTACAATGCCCTGTCTAGCGGGCAGCGTGTCTCGCCATTTACCGCAGCAGCCGTGGCCCTGGCGAACCGCGCCGCGAAATTCGAGAGGCACCTGCTGCTGACCCGCCGCGTCGCCCGAAGGTACAGAGGGCGGTCGCGCTCGCGCTGCAGCGTGCCTTTTTCTCTTCGCCGTTCACAGTCACTCTCACGAAGCGCCTCGCAGCGCGGGGCCTTCAGATGACGCCGCCGCCCCCAGAGCTCGCCACCCGCTGGTCTGCTCTCACAAAAGCGCTCGGAGAGGTCCGACCCAGCTGGCGCTGGGTCGGTTTTCAAAACTCTCAGTGGCGGGTGGACGACCACACACCGCATGCATGTACTAGCCCAGCGCTCGTGCGTGTTCGGGTGCCCGAACGCACCCGATTCTTTTCCCCACTACCTCTCCTGCTCCGTCCTCCTGAGCCTCCTTTGGTCCCCCGACCCCGCCCCTCTCCTCAGCACATATACATCCTGGGGCTTGGGCCCTGCAGCAGCGTACCCTTCCGAACCTGCCAGCGACCTCTCGTTGCGGCAGACGATTCGCAGGATTGCGCCTGCATTCCACCTGCACAACAAAATGAAGCAGCACGCAGCGCCGTCGCCAGCAAATATTGCCGCAGCGATGGCCGCAGCGAAATCACTCCTGTGGCGTTGATCCGCTGTCCGCCGTCTCACGCTTTGCCTCACTATCTCGGCAGGCATGCGCGTGGGCTGGGCTGACAGACGTGGCCGCCTCAAGGTACGTTCACTTCTCCTCCTCCTCCTCCTCCTCCTCCTCCTCCTCATCTTCCTCCTCCTCCTCGTTATCCTCCTCCTCCTCCTCCTCGTTATCCTCCTCCTCGTTATCCTCCTCCTCCTCCTCCTCGTTATCCTCCTCCCCTCCTCCTCCTCATCCTCCTCCTCGTCCTCCTCGTTATCCTCATCTTCCTCCTCCTCCTTCTCCTCCTTCTCCTCCTCCGCCTCCTCCTCTTCCTCCTCCCCCTCCTCCTCCCCCTCCTTCTCCTCCTCCTCCTCCTCCCCCTCCTCCCCCTCCTTCCCCCCCTCGGACTAAACGGGGGATAGGGAAGGGAACGGCTACGAAGTCTGCTGCGCGCACCTGGTTTCGGCATGGCCGCCCCAAGCGCGGGGAGGCGTTGGGAAGATCATCTACACGAGCTGATTCGCCAACCCCCCCTTTGATATATCCCCCTTTTGTCCGGCCCGAGTCTTCCCGGGGTCCAGTTTACCGCCCCAGATCAATTTGTTGACGGTCGCGGGATTTGGCGAAGGTCTTCTCCCTAAGTCCAGCGCCGTATTCTGGTTGATTTTCCCATTTCAAAAGGTTTCGCTAATGCACCCAAACCGATGGAAAAAAGTAAGGCGCAAAGTTCCGCCTCAGAAAAATTAAGAGAGATTCAGCAAAAGTATGGCGGGCACAGCGACAGCAAAGTAGGCCCGACATCGACATCAAAGGAACTTCAAAAGTACAGTACGGCGGGAAGTTTCACCCTACTCGTGAAATCGCCCGAAGTACGGCGGATCTGGAGTCAGCGCGGGATCCCGGATCTTTCTATGGCGAAGGCCCCCAGACGCGGGAAATGACGAAACACCGCCGTCATGATTTTTGTGCACGGTCTGGCTTGTTTTATGGCGACAAGACGAGGCGCCCGCTTGTTCGACCCGCCGCAGTTGGCGGAGAGCAGGAGGAGGAGAAGGACCAGTGTAAACCCAAGACGCATCACCGATGATGCAATAGATACACCCTTCCTCCAAGCTTCCTCTGCAGAGGCCCCTAAAGGAATTGGTTTTCATTGCGGGAAGTTGCCCATGAGAAGACAATAATCTGAGAATCCCCAATCGTGCCAGAACGCAGTTCCTGGGACTTCAGCGCCTCAGATCAGTGTGACGTTGCGTCCTGACAATCCGAAATCGTGCCAGAATGCCGTTCCTGGGACTACATCACCGCGAATCAACGTGACGGCAAGGTCTTCACAATCCTAAATCGTGCCAGGATGCACGTTCTGGGACTTCGACCATATGAATTCTTCTGCAAATTTTGAAGACAAATGAGCGCGGCTCTACGGCGAGAACCGCATTTTGAAAACGGCCCGCCTTCCATCTTCGAGTTTCTGGAAACTGTTCAGAATGCGCGCGGCGCTAAGGCGAGAGCCGCATTCTGAAAACGGCTTGCCCTCCATTTTTGAAACTATTGCAAACTACGGTTTTAGGGTCATAGATGGCGAGGAAGTCACAGGCGAAACGCCCGGCCTGTCCTTCCGACACGTCTGCGGTTGCGGCAGGGAAGAATTGTTCATAAGGAAAAGGGAGAGGAGGAGGAGGCCTCGAGATTCCGAAAACGATGGGAAGACGCCGTCCTGATTCTTGCTTGCCCATGAGCTGGAGGCCTGGGGCTGGCGCCCTCCGCAGGAGCGCTGCCGCGTCGCCCTCGAGGCGTCACTGGCCGCCGCTGGCGGGACCGCGCGCGTGGCGCTGGAGCCCGCGGGGGCGCTGCTAAAGCGGCTCCGGCTGCCCGCGGAGGTTTAGCGGACTACGACGACGACGCCGACGACGACGACGACGACGACGACGACGACGACGACGACGACCACACTCGAACCTCGAACGCCTCGAGCATCGAAGCTCGAAGCTCGAGCTCCAAGCTTCGAGGAACAAGTAATGGCATACATATAATTCGACTCGGATCGGAGGGCCGCGCGGACTTCTTGGGTCGGTGGGGCCCCCTCCCTGGTGCGCGGAGCGCGCCAGAGGCGGCGCCGGAGGCGCCGCCAGGGGGCCCAGCGCCGACCCGAGAAGTCCGCGCGGAGCTCCGAAGGTTTATGATTACACCATGATGTGTTCCCTGGAAGCTTGGAGCCTCGAGCATCGAGGCTCGAAGCGGCTGCGGCTGCCGCTGCGGAGGTGGGCGCGCTGCAGGCTGGGAACGCCTACGACCCCTTCGCGCCGCACGCGGACCGCAGAGGAGGAGAAGGGGGGGTGGGGGGTGGGAGGAGGGTGAATCGGCCACACAGAGGTGGGTAGTGGGAGGGGAAGCTTCTTGAAGCAGCCCTGCTCCGTAGAAGGCGCGGGCCTAATGTATAGGTACAGGGCCGGTGCCTTCTGAGAAACAGCCTCCTTCTGAGAAGCCTTCCCCCTCCCCCTACCCCCCTGTGCGCTCGGCCGAAAGGCGGCGAGAAGCATGAAAACCTCGATCCTGGAGTATGGATCCTCTTCCTGCACATACTGCATATTATTGGAAGTGGTACCACGATGGGCGCGGCTGGCCGATCCTCCTCCCCCTCCTCCCCCTCCTCCTCCTCCTCCTCCCCCTTCTCCCTCCCCTCCTCCCCCCCTCCTCCTCCCCTCCTCCTCCTCCTCCTCCTCCTCCTCCTCCTCCTCCTCCTCCTCCTCCTCCTCCTTTTTTCCTCCTCCTCCTCCTCCTTCTCCTCCTCCTCCGCCTCCTCCTCCTCCTCCTCCTCCTCCTCCTCCTCCTCCTCCTCCTCCTCCTCCTCCTCCTCCTCCTCCTCCTCCTCCTCTCCTCCTCCTCCCTCCTCCTCCTCCTCCTCCTCCTCCTCCTCCCCCCCTCCCCTCCCCCTCCCCCTCCCCCCCTACTCCCCCTCCTACCCTCGCCTCTGTTTCGTTCGTCCTCGAAAAAGAGGAAGAATAATAGTTATTATAATATTAATGATAACGATACTAATAATATTAATAAAAAATAATAATAATAATATTATGCTAACGGAGTTCCCCACATAAAGAGATTAACGGTTTCGTGGGACCCATTTTCTTGATACCCTCCTCGCTCAGGCGGGGCCTCCCTGGAGGGGTGGGAGGGGCACGAAACCATGTAAATAGTATGGTATTCCGATACCCTCCTCGCTCAGGCGGGGCCTCCCTGGAGGGGTGGGAGGGGCACGAAACCATGTAAATAGTATGGTATTCCGATACCCTCCTCGCTCAGGCGGGGCCTCCCTGGAGGGGTGGGAGGGGCACGAAACCATGTAAATAGTATGGTATTCCGATACCCTCCTCGCTCAGGCGGGGCCTCCCTGGAGGGGTGGGAGGGGCACGAAACCATGTAAATAGTATGGTATTCCGATACCCTCCTCGCTCAGGCGGGGCCTCCCTGGAGGGGTGGGAGGGGCACGAAACCATGTAAATAGTATGGTATTCCGATACCCTCCTCGCTCAGGCGGGGCCTCCCTGGAGGGGTGGGAGGGGCACGAAACCATGTAAATAGTATGGTATTCCGATACCCTCCTCGCTCAGGCGGGGCCTCCCTGGAGGGGTGGGAGGGGCACGAAACCATGTAAATAGTATGGTATTCCGATACCCTCCTCGCTCAGGCGGGGCCTCCCTGGAGGGGTGGGAGGGGCACGAAACCATGTAAATAGTATGGTATTCCGATACCCTCCTCGCTCAGGCGGGGCCTCCCTGGAGGGGTGGGAGGGGCACGAAACCATGTAAATAGTATGGTATTCCGATACCCTCCTCGCTCAGGCGGGGCCTCCCTGGAGGGGTGGGAGGGGCACGAAACCATGTAAATAGTATGGTATTCCGATACCCTCCTCGCTCAGGCGGGGCCTCCCTGGAGGGGTGGGAGGGGCACGAAACCATGTAAATAGTATGGTATTCCGATACCCTCCTCGCTCAGGCGGGGCCTCCCTGGAGGGGTGGGAGGGGCACGAAACCATGTAAATAGTATGGTATTCCGATACCCTCCTCGCTCAGGCGGGGCCTCCTGGAGGGGTGGGAGGGGCACGAAACCATGTAAATAGTATGGTATTCCGATACCCTCCTCGCTCAGGCGGGGCCTCCCTGGAGGGGTGGGAGGGGCACGAAACCATGTAAATAGTATGGTATTCCGATACCCTCCTCGCTCAGGCGGGGCCTCCCTGGAGGGGTGGGAGGGGCACGAAACCATGTAAATAGTATGGTATTCCGATACCCTCCTCGCTCAGGCGGGGCCTCCCTGGAGGGGTGGGAGGGGCACGAAACCATGTAAATAGTATGGTATTCCGATACCCTCCTCGCTCAGGCGGGGCCTCCCTGGAGGGGTGGGAGGGGCACGAAACCATGTAAATAGTATGGTATTCCGATACCCTCCTCGCTCAAGCGGGGCCTCCCTGGAGGGGTGGGAGGGGCACTGGAGGTATGGTATGGTATGGTACGGTGTGGCATTGGTATGATATGGTATGGTATTATATGGTACGCCATGGTATGGTATGGTACGGTATGGTACGTATGGTGTGGTATGGTATGGTATGGTATGGAGTATGGTATGGTATGGTATGGTATGGTATGTGTGGTAGGAACTATGGTATGGTATGGTGTGTGTGGTAGGAATAATATTGTGCTGTATGGAAGATGGAGCGGGAGATGGGTGGGAAGGAGAGGGTGTTCTGGGAAAACAAGAACCCCACTCAGAATGTGGGGAATTAATATTAATAATAATAATAATAATAAAAATCTCTTTATGCTAACGGAGTTCCCCACATAAAGAGATTAACGGTTTCGTGGGACCCATTTTCTTGATGCCCTCCTCGCTTTGGCGGGGCCTCCCTGGAGGTGTGGGAGGGGCACGAAACCATGTAAATAGTATGGTATTCCGATACCCTCCTCGCTCAGGCGGGGCCTCCCTGGAGGGGTGGGAGGGGCACGAAACCATGTAAATAGTATGGTATTCCGATACCCTCCTCGCTCAGGCGGGGCCTCCCTGGAGGGGTGGGAGGGGCACGAAACCATGTAAATAGTATGGTATTCCGATACCCTCCTCGCTCAGGCGGGGCCTCCCTGGAGGGGTGGGAGGGGCACGAAACCATGTAAATAGTATGGTATTCCGATACCCTCCTCGCTCAGGCGGGGCCTCCCTGGAGGGGTGGGAGGGGCACGAAACCATGTAAATAGTATGGTATTCCGATACCCTCCTCGCTCAGGCGGGGCCTCCCTGGAGGGGTGGGAGGGGCACGAAACCATGTAAATAGTATGGTATTCCGATACCCTCCTCGCTCAGGCGGGGCCTCCCTGGAGGGGTGGGAGGGGCACGAAACCATGTAAATAGTATGGTTTCCGATACCCTCCTCGCTCAGGCGGGGCCTCCCTGGAGGGGTGGGAGGGGCACGAAACCATGTAAATAGTATGGTATTCCGATACCCTCCTCGCTCAGGCGGGGCCTCCCTGGAGGGGTGGGAGGGGCACGAAACCATGTAAATAGTATGGTATTCCGATACCCTCCTCGCTCAGGCGGGGCCTCCCTGGAGGGGTGGGAGGGGCACGAAACCATGTAAATAGTATGGTATTCCGATACCCTCCTCGCTCAGGCGGGGCCTCCCTGGAGGGGTGGGAGGGGCACGAAACCATGTAAATAGTATGGTATTCCGATACCCTCCTCGCTCAGGCGGGGCCTCCCTGGAGGGGTGGGAGGGGCACGAAACCATGTAAATAGTATGGTATTCCGATACCCTCCTCGCTCAGGCGGGGCCTCCCTGGAGGGGTGGGAGGGGCACGAAACCATGTAAATAGTATGGTATTCCGATACCCTCCTCGCTCAGGCGGGGCCTCCCTGGAGGGGTGGGAGGGGCACGAAACCATGTAAATAGTATGGTATTCCGATACCCTCCTCGCTCAGGCGGGGCCTCCCTGGAGGGGTGGGAGGGGCACGAAACCATGTAAATAGTATGGTATTCCGATACCCTCCTCGCTCAGGCGGGGCCTCCCTGGAGGGGTGGGAGGGGCACGAAACCATGTAAATAGTATGGTATTCCGATACCCTCCTCGCTCAGGCGGGGCCTCCCTGGAGGGGTGGGAGGGGCACGAAACCATGTAAATAGTATGGTATTCCGATACCCTCCTCGCTCAGGCGGGGCCTCCCTGGAGGGGTGGGAGGGGCACTGGAGGTATGGTATGGTATGGTACGGTGTGGCATTGGTGTGATATGGTATGGTATGCTATGGTACGCCATGGTATGGTATGGTACGGTATGGTACGTATGGTGTGGTATGGTATGGTATGGTATGGTATGGTATGGTATGGTATGGTATGTGTGGTAGGAACTATGGTATGGTATGGTGTGTGTGGTAGGAATAATATTGTGCTGTATGGAAGATGGAGCGGGAGGTGGGTGGGAAGGAGAGGGTGTTCTGGGAAAACAAGAACCCCACTCAGGATGTGGGGAATTAATATTAATAATAATAATAATATAATAAAAATCTCTTTATGCTAACGGAGTTCCCCACATAAAGAGATTAACGGTTTCGTGGGACACATTTTCTTGATGCCCTCCTCGCTCAGGCGGGGCCTCCCTGGAGGGGTGGGAGGGGCACGAAACCATGTAAATAGTATGGTATTCCGATACCCTCCTCGCTCAGGCGGGGCCTCCCTGGAGGGGTGGGAGGGGCACGAAACCATGTAAATAGTATGGTATTCCGATACCCTCCTCGCTCAGGCGGGGCCTCCCTGGAGGGGTGGGAGGGGCACGAAACCATGTAAATAGTATGGTATTCCGATACCCTCCTCGCTCAGGCGGGGCCTCCCTGGAGGGGTGGGAGGGGCACGAAACCATGTAAATAATATGGTATTCCGATACCCTCCTCGCTCAGGCGGGGCCTCCCTGGAGGGGTGGGAGGGGCACGAAACCATGTAAATAGTATGGTATTCCGATACCCTCCTCGCTCAGGCGGGGCCTCCCTGGAGGGGTGGGAGGGGCACGAAACCATGTAAATAGTATGGTATTCCGATACCCTCCTCGCTCAGGCGGGGCCTCCCTGGAGGGGTGGGAGGGGCACGAAACCATGTAAATAGTATGGTATTCCGATACCCTCCTCGCTCAGGCGGGGCCTCCCTGGAGGGGTGGGAGGGGCACGAAACCATGTAAATAGTATGGTATTCCGATACCCTCCTCGCTCAGGCGGGGCCTCCCTGGAGGGGTGGGAGGGGCACGAAACCATGTAAATAGTATGGTATTCCGATACCCTCCTCGCTCAGGCAGGGCCTCCCTGGAGGGGTGGGAGGGGCACGAAACCATGTAAATAGTATGGTATTCCGATAGTACGCCATGGTAAGTATGGTATGGTACGGTATGGTACGTATGGTGTGGTATGGTATGGTATGGTATGGTATGGTATGGTATGGTATGTGTGGTAGGAACTATTGTATGGTATGGTGTGTGTGGTAGGAATAATATTGTGCTGTATGGAAGATGCAGCGGGAGGTGGGTGGGAAGGAGAGGGTGTTCTGGGAAAACAAGAACCCCACTCAGGATGTGGGGAATAATAATAATAATAATATAATAATAAAAAATTGATAATCATCATAATAATAATAATACTAATACTAATACTAATAATAATGATAATAATAATAATAATAATAATAATCATCATAATCATAATAATAATAATAATAATAATAATAATAATAATAATAATAATAATAATATTAATAATAATATAAATGTAGTTCTCTAGTGTTAGTTCGAGGGGGAGAGGGGGGGTTTGGAAGAGGCCGCACCTGCATTGCATAGCTTTCTCGGCTTGAGGAGCGGGTCCCGCTCCGCGCCCGCCCGCCCGCGGCCGGGCGGGCCAGAGGAGCCCCTGCGTGGGGCAGGCGCCGACATGCCGCCCAAGGCCGCAAGGGGCCGCGGGCGGGGCGGCGGTGGCGCGGGCCGCGGGCGCGGCCGCGCCGGGCGCGGCGCTGGGCCTGGCGCCGCTCGCGGAGGCGGTGGCGGTGCTGGGCGTGGTCGCGGTGCTGGCGGCGCAGGAGCGGGCGGCCTCGCTGCGCTGCCGGGCCCGCCGCCGGCGGGGGCCCCGCTGTTCGCCCCGTGGGGCGGCGCGGCCGCTGGCGGCCTGGCCGCTGGGCCGCCCCCTGGGGCGCCTGTGCTCGGTGGCGCTGCGCCGCCCGCGGCAGCCGGCCGTGGGCGTGGGCGCGACGGGCGCGGGCTGCACCAGGCCGTGGTCGCGGCGGCGCACGCTGGTGGAGGAGATGCGCAGGAGGTTGCTGGAGGCCTGGCGCAGCTCGCGCGCGGCCTCAACGTGCGGCTCACTGACGCAGGCATCCAGGCGGCGCTGGCCGGGCTGCAGCAAGGCGCTGCAGGTGCAGCTGGCGGAGCGCCGGCACCCCACGCCGGCGTTGGAGGAGCAGCCGGTGGCGGCATCGGGGCGGACCTGCTGGGCGGCCTCGCGGCGGCTGGAGCGCCGCCTGGAGGGCCGCCGCTGGGGCTGGGCGTGGCCGTGGTGCCGCCCGCAGCAGGCGGGGCGGTGCGGCTGCCAGGCCTTGCGGCTGGGCTCCCAGGGGTGGTGCCCCCAGGCGACTCGGCCTGGCTGGGCAAGGGCTTGCAGCCAGCGGCCCTCGCGCAGGTCGGTGTGCAGCCAGGCACGATCGTCGAGGTGCCAACCTTCAACGCCGAGGGGCACTGCGACGGCTCGGCGTTCTTGAAGCTGGGCCTGCAGTGGGCCGCGGACGCCCTCGGCACCTTCGGCCTCGCCGAGTTCGCAGGCGCATCATCGCCCGTCGCCACGGGTATGCTGGATGACTTGTGGGCGCAGCCGCCCCTCGTCCACCTGTGCTCAGGGGCGCGGGAGGCGTGCAGCGCCCGTGCTGGTGCTCGCCTCGTGTACCACGTGGACACGCTGCGCGTGCGGACATCGTCAGGGATCTCCGAGCCGTGGGTGCGCCGTCAGGTCATCTTCGGGCCGCCGAGTGCCGCTGCCGCTGCAGGTGGTGCTGGCGCAGGCGGTGGAGGTGACGACCGGAAGCTCGTGGCCAAGATCGAGGAGCTCAAGAGTGCGCTGAAGAGAAAGGCTGGCTCGCGCGTGGACCTATTCTCTGTGGCGACGAGAAGGCAGCGCAGGGCCGATCCTCTGGTCGAGGACGATGACGGCGACGGCGACTCGCTTTTTCGCGATGCCCCCTCCAGCTCCGGCAACGACAGGATCCACGAGATCGCTCGGGAGCAACCCGGAGCCCTGTTGGATGCCGGCCTTGCGGAGATGGCCCGTTTCCTTGGCGAGCGGGAGGGGGCGGATCAGACCACAGGGGCGAACACGGCGCGGGTGATGGCCTATCTCACGAGCATCTTCTTCGGCCAGCATCCCCAGTCCACCATCAGCGTGCACACCGTGAAGGAGATGAGGACGGTCGCAGCGGCGCTCGACGCCCTTCTGCAGGGACGCCTCCCCGAGCTCGGGGATCTCCTGATGCAGAGGCTGAAGGCGTTGGAGACGAGCGTGCGCGACAAGGACTGGGGGGTGGCGAGCCAGCTGGAGCTCACCGAGGAGACGCCTGGGCTGGTGAGCGTGACCGAGCGCCAGGCGGCGGCGCGCCACGCGCTCATGAGGGCGAAGCTCGCGGACCTGCGGACCAAGGCGCAGGGGCGAGGTGGCGCGGGCTAGGGACTCCGCGGGGGCGAGGAGCGAGGAGCCGCTCCTTCCCTGAGGCGTCCTGCCCGCTCGCCCAGCCCTCTGGGCGAGCCCAGCTCCCTCGCTGGCTTGCCAGCGCGCCCTGGCGCCTCGACGGGCCGCCGCAGCCGCCGCCGCCGCGGGCGGGGCAGGGGCCGAGGGTCCGCGGAGGCCGCGCCGCCAGCTGCCCCCCCGCGTCGGGCGTCGCCCGAGAGGCGGCCGGCCTCGCCGAGGCGCGGCCCGAGCCCCAGCAACGGGGCGCGGCCGGCGGCGCCGGCGCCGGGCCCGCGGGTCGCGTTCGCACCGGAGGTCGAGGCCGTGGAGAGCGCCGCTGGAGATCCTCCTGCCCTGCTGGCGAACGGCGCCACGAGGAAGGTGCAGCTGAAGGGGGGCGACACGGACACCGAGGGGCTGCCGCCCTGGGTCCAGCGCCTTCGGTCGCCGACGCCGAAGCTGCGCGGGCGGGGCCGCGGGCCTGCAAAGGGCGGGGGCAAGACCCGGGGGCGCGCCCGCGGGCGGTAGCCGCCGCCCTGGCCCCTGCTGCTGCGCCCGTCTTCGGGCGAGGTCCGCCAGCCGCCGCCCCGCTCGGGCAGGGCGCAGGCGAGGACGCAGCAGCTGCTGACCTGCGGCCCGCACGTGCTGTCGCTGCAGCCGCCAGGAGCGTGCAGGAGTGCGACGCCACGCTCGTGCCGCAGGTCTTGCTCGGGTTGGTCAGGACTTTGCCCACTCGTCTTGGTCAGGTGGCGCGAGAGCTCACGGCTGTTGGAGGGAGGCCAACTCCTAGGGCTGAAGGGAGGCAACGTGACCTTCTCCCTCTCCCCTTTTTCGCGTTGAGTGATGAGGAGCTCGTCGCATTCGGTGCGGGTGACAAGCCGCAGCTGGTCGCGACCAAGCAGTGGGTATACCTGATGATCATCGCGCTGAACCACCTGTACGCCAATTGCGCGGCGTCGGAGAAGCGGTGTGTGCTGGCAGGCCCGGCCAGCCCCGCTCAGATGAGGGCCGTGAGAAGGCTGGCGCGGGCAGCCATCCTTTTCCTGAAGAGCTGCCCCACGCCGCTCACGCCGACGGACTGGGCAGCTGAGCTGGCCAAGAAGCGCGTGGCCTACGACGGCGAGGAGATTGGCACGGCCGAGACGCTGTCGGTGGAGCAGGTGCTGCCGGCGCTCCCGCCCAAAGGCATCGCGGCCTCGGTGGAGGCGGTGGACCTCTGCGAGGGGAACGTCCGGGAGGCGCTGCTCGATGCGGATGCCATGCTCCTGCCGAAGGGCGTGCGGCCGGCCCGCGTCCCGCGCGCCAAGATCTGGGCGCCGCTGCAGACCTGGTACGACCTCGTGGCCGTCCTCTGGGACCGTGGCCTCGTGGAGCCGATCGCCCTGGAGGATGTGCTGCACGTGGACGGGCGGCCCGTGCTGTGCGGGGCCTTCGGCGTGCGCAAGGGGACCGAGCGCACCATCCCGCTCAAGGACGGCACCATGGGTCACGTCCTCAGGCTCATCATGAACCTCGTCCCGTCGAACGTCGTGCAGCGTGTGGTCGGTGGCGACATGGACCAGTTGCCGCTGTCGTCGCAGTGGTCCACGATCGTCTTACTCGCTCACGAGATGATGCTGTGGACCTCCACGGATCGGCAGTGCTTCTTCTACGTGTTCAGGTTGCCGCCCTGTTGGAGGAAGTTCATGGCCTTTGAGGTCCCAGTCCCAGGGCAACTCGTCGGGCGGCCGAGCGAGCCTCGCGTGTACGTGGCCAGCACCACGGTGGCGATGGGGTGGATCTCTGCGACTGGCATCGCTCAGCACATCCACCGCAACATCTTGCGGCAGGGGTGGCAGCTGTCCGCCAGTCTGTCGAGGGAGGCCGAGTGGCGGCGTGATCGCCCGGCGCCTCTCACGGCCTTGGCTCAAGAGGTGGAAGCTTGGGAAGTTTACATCGACAACTTGGAGGCGCAAGAGGTCGTCACACGCGAGGACGGCAAGGTGCTCAAGGGCACCGTGAGCCCGCTCTTGCTGGCGGCTCGTGAGGCGTATGCACGGTGCGGCACGCCGGGCGTACCTGCCAAGGACGTGCTCAGGGCCAGCGAGGTGCAGGCGTTGGGCGACTACATCGACGGCGACCTGGGGAGGAAGGAGGCGCCGCGCGGCTACGTGGTCAGCCTCATCTCCCTCACCCTGTGGGTCCTGGGGCGCCCCGGTGTCAACAAGAAGCACTGGCAGATCGTGCTGGGCCGTTGGGTCCGGGTCTGCTCTCACCAGCGCGCAGGCATGGCATGCTTCGAGAAGGTCTGGAGGTGGATGTCCCGCTCGCACCGCTGCTGGACCGTGCCGTTGGCAGTGATGGGCGAGCTGCTCTTGGCCATGCAGCTGGCGCCGCTCTACTTCACCGACTTCCGCCTGCACGTGTCGCCTGTCGTGTCCTGCTCCGACGCCAGCCCGAGCGGGGGGGCTGTATGCGTGAGCAGGGGGCTCTCCTGTGCTGGCGAAGAGGCGCTGGAGCGTGTCGGCCGCGTCCCGTGGCAGGCCAGCGAGGAGGAGGTTGTCCTGCTGAGCCTGTTCGACGGCATCGGCGGCGCGCGGGAGAGCTGGGGGGCCCTTGGTTTGGAGACCCTGTGGTTCGTGTCGGCTGAGACCGACGCGACGGCCTCGCGTGTCACGAGGAACGCGTGGCCGAACGTGAAGGAGCTGGGCGATGTCAAGCAGATCTCGAAGGAGGTGCTGCTCACCATCAAGCATGGGTGCGCCCGGGGCCGCAAGCTGATCGTCACCGGCGGCTTCCCCTGCCAGGGCCTCAGCAGGCTCAACGTGTCCAGGAAAGGCCTTCAGGACCCCAGGTCTGGGCTCATCAGCGAGGTGATCCGCATCCTCGACCTGGTGGTCGAAGTGTTCGAGTCCTGGGAGTGCGAGTTCCTGTTCGAGAACGTGGACTCGGCGGACAAGCGGGACATCGCCGCAGTCACCGAGCTCTTGGGCGTGCGGCCTCTCAGGTTGTGCGCCAGCCAGGTGTGCCACATGCGGCGGCCTCGCCTCTACTGGTGCTCCTTTGAGCTCTGCGAGGTGGGCGGCGTCGCGCTGGTCGACCAGGGCGCCTGGCTGCAGGTGAAGCTGGATGCGGACCCAGGGCCTACCTCGAGGTGGCTCTCGCCTGGTGCCACGTGGGCTGCGAGTGCTGATCCTGCGGCACGCCTGCCGACGGCCGTGGGGCGAGACCGACGGTCCGAGCCCCGGCCGCGCCCAGCTGGCTTCAACCAGTGCGACGACGCGGCGCTGGCGAGGTGGGCCGCCGACGACTTCAGCCTGCCCCCCTACCAGTACATCGACCGACACTGCGTGCTGCACGAGGGCCAGCTGCGCCCGCCGTCGGCCGAGGAGCGTGAGGTCCTCATGGGGTACCGCAGAGGCCACACGCAGGTGGCCGTCACCTCGAGCGTGCTGAAGAGTGACCCGCGCCAGGCCGAGTGCGCGAGGTGCGGGCTCCTCGGCAACGCGTTCCACGTCGAGGTGGTGGCCTGGCTACTCGGGCACTTGGCCACGCAGTGGGGTTTCCTCGCAGCGCCGCCGTCAGTCGACGAGCTGCGCGACAGGTCGAAGCCCAGGAAGAGCGTGTCGCTCGTCACCCGCGGGTTCGCCCCCGAGCAGGCACTGGCACTCGACGTGATGAGGTCCACCAGCACCAAGGGCAGCGACGTCCGCATGTCGACGGGTGAGCTCTTCCATCCCTCAGGCTGGCCGCGGCAGCCTATCTCTCCTGGCTGGTGGCGCTGGCGCACGGTGGTGCAGTTCCACTGGCGCGAGGAGGCTCACATCAACGAATTGGAAATGAGGGCCTTCCTCTCAGCGCTCAGGTGGCGGCTGCGCGCGGAGAAGAACCTCGAGTGCAAGTTTCTGCATCTGCTGGACAGCCAGGTCTCCATTGCTGTCTTGGCCAAGCATCGTTCGGGAAGCATACAGTTGAATCGCGTGGCTCGCAAGGTAGCAGCGTTGGAGATGGCCTCTGGGAGTGTGGCCATCTTGGGGTTCTGTCGGAGCGGTGACAACCCGTCCGACGCCCCAAGCCGCAGGCAGCAGGCTGATGCCTAGGCGGCTCCCGCAGTACCCAGACCAAGCGAGTCGGGCTCAGGCGCGCCGTGCGCTCGGGCCCTTGCGGTTTCAACGTGTTGTTCCCCGAACCCGAATTCGCTATCATCGTGCAGCTGCCATGTTTGTACGACACCAGCAACAGGCTGGATGGCCGCTTGCAGTGGAGCCTCACGAGCTGGACGAGCAGCTCTGTGCATATCTGGAGCACCTCTGGCTTGAGGGCGAAGGCAGGAACCTCGCTGGAGACACGCTGAGCGGCATCCAGTTCATCTTGAGCCGCAGGCGGGTGTTCCCAGGCGCCTGGGACCTGTTCCGCGTGTGGGGCCGCATCGAGATGCCCAGCCGCGCGCCGCCGCTGAACTCCATGATGCTGCTCGCGCTGGGGCACTGGATGTGGGTTCAGGGCCGCCGCGACGCCGCCATCGTGACGATCGCGGCGTTCCACTGCCTCATGCGCACTGGTGAGATGTTCAGCATGGCGTTCGAGCACGTGGCCATCGGTGCGAGGGGCACCGGGGTCATAGCCCTGCCGTGGTCCAAGAGCGGCGCGCGGCGAGGCGCTCAGGAGATCATCACCGTCGACGATGGCATCGTGGGCAGGGCGCTGGAAGCGCTCAAGAGCTGGCGTGGGCCTGGCGCCCGACTCCTTGACGGGACGGGCGTGGCGTACCGGCGGCTGTTCGACCACGGGTGCGCCGCGCTGGGCCTCAGCTCGCTGCAGCTCCTGCCCTACTCACTGAGGCGGGGAGGCGCCACCCACGACCTGCTGGCCCACGGCGACGTGGCGCGGACTGTGCACCGTGGGCGCTGGAACGACAGCAGGACCGCCCGCATTTACATAAATGACGGGCTCGCCGTCCTCGCTCAACAGTCGCTGTCTGATGACATCGTTCGCGCCCTCAGAGAGCGTGGCACTGCGTTTGCGAGCATCCTTGCCTCGCTCTAATGTTTCTTCTCTTCATTTATGTCACTATCGTCCTCCTCTTCCCAACCCTCACGCCTCCTTCACTCTTCCTCTGTTTCTTTGTGTTTGTGTGCCCGGGCCCCTTTCCCTCGGGGTCGCGTGCCCCTGCGGGGCGCTTGGCGGGCCTCTTGAGGCCCTCGTGGTGGGCCTTTTTGGGGCCCCGTGCCCGAAAAGCTGGTCTCACGAAGGTCGCGTGCAGGGGGGTTTGGAAGAATGTTTCACGGCTGAGCCAGGGGGAGTAACGTGGAGAGCGGCCTACACCTGCCTCGGCCCCCGTCCCGCGCGTGCGGCCCCAAGGTGGCTGTGGGGCCCCTCGGTGGGCGCCCTGTTTGGCCCGTCCCTGGTCCGTGCTTTGGCGCCGCCGTTCGTGGACCGCAGGCGGTCCCTCGGGCCCCCCTCCCTTGGCCGGCCCCCGGGGCGTGCGTGAGGCCTGAGGCGCGGTGTATGTAGAGAGTGTGTAAGGTGGAACCCTTCTGGCCTCCCCAAAAAGAGCCCCTCGGACCCTGTAGAACTATAAATGTAGTTCTCTAGTGTTAGTTCGAGGGGGAGAGGGGGGGTTTGGAAGAGGCCGCACCTGCATTGCATAGCTTTCTCGGCCCTCCCACAGACCACCCTGGCTATGCAAATTTTCCAGTAGAGAGCGGCCTACACCTGCCTCGGCCCCCGTCCCGCGCGTGCGGCCCCAAGGTGGCTGTGGGGCCCCTCGGTGGGCGCCCTGTTTGGCCCGTCCCTGGTCCGTGCTTTGGCGCCGCCGTTCGTGGACCGCAGGCGGTCCCTCGGGCCCCCCTCCCTTGGCCGGCCCCCGGGGCGTGCGTGAGGCCTGAGGCGCGGTGTATGTAGAGAGTGTGTAAGGTGGAACCCTTCTGGCCTCCCCAAAAAGAGCCCCTCGGACCCTGTAGAACTAATAATAATAATAATAATAATAACAACAACAATAAGAAGAAGAAGAAGAAGAAGAATGAATAATCATAATCATAATAATAAGAAGAAATTATGTTGATGCCGTTTGTTTTTCCTCCATGGTCGGTCCTCCTGGGAGGCCTTCGTCGCCACCGCTGGATTCGCCCCGGAATACTTCTCAGAGCGCATGCATCCCGGGAGAGGTCCGGGGAGCAACAGATATGGGCACCCCCAGGACCGGGCCAACGTCGCCGCGTACGAGTTCAGCCCCGGTGGCACGCAGGGGTGGCCCTTCGCCGGAGTGGCTTCTCGGTGCGGGGCCACTCTGGCGGTGCGCGCAGGGGGGTGGCGCGGGGAGGGGTTCTGAGAAGTTCCCTGCTGTCTGAGAGGCCCCCCGCCTTCTCAGAAGGCCGCCCCCCCGTCGCGCCATACCCTTGCGCGCGCTGCCAACCACTGGGGGCCCCCGAATGCCGAAAACGGTGCGACAGCAACGGCCTGCGCACCCGTGGTTGGTTTTCTGGGCGCCCGCCTAAAGCCGCGCACCCCTGAGATCCGACGTCGCCAAGAAAGTTGCGACATCGCTTGAAATTGCGACTGTAGCCCTGCACACCATCTTTCCGCTGCGTTTTCCGACCCAGGTCAGTGTGCGATAGCCCCATGGGCCCGAAGGTGGGCAACAAACCCTGGCGAGATAGAGTCGCAACGCCCACACCTCAGGGACCAGAGGGCCTCCTCGTGCCTACGGTAGCGATGTTCAAGCTTACTCTAGCCCAGAAATTCACGGAGAACTTTGGGCCCCAGGGGTAGCAGCCCAGCACCCCGTTTGGCCGGAGGGGCCCAGTACAATGCAAGGGCAGAGCCTACACCCGCCCGTGGTCGCAGGATCGGGTTCCTTCCCAATTTAAATTTCTACCTAACAGCGAAGATTGATAGGTTTCTAGTAGGGTCAAAAGAGAGCATCTTGACGCCCCAGGGGGGTCTGGGCGCGATCCGGGGGAGGATGCCGGGGATTTTTTTAGCCAACAGTAACGCACTTCGTGGTCTTCGAGCTCCCAGAATTCGATTCCTGGGCATGATTTTGAATGCCCGGAACCAACTGTAAGCCACTTCGTGTTCTTCGAGTTCCCAGAACTCCATTCTTGGACATGATTTGGAATGCCCGGAGCCAACTGTAGACCACTTCGTCGTCTTCGAGTTCCCAGAACTCCATTCCTGGGCATGATTTTGAACGCCCGGAGCCAACTGTAGGCCACTTCGTGGTCTTCGAGTTCCCAGAACTCCACTCCTGGGTATGATTTTGAATGCCCGGAGACAACTGTAGGCCACTTCGTGGTCTTCGAGTTCCCAGAACTCCACTCCTGGGCGTGATTTTGAATGCCCGGAGCCAACTGTAGGCCACTTCGTGTTCTTCGAGTTCCCAGAACTCCACTCCCGGGCTACATTTTGAATGCTGAGGCAAGCTGATGCTGAGGATGAGGCAGGCTGAGGCTGAGGCAGGCTGAGGCCGAGGCCGAGGCTGAAGGCAGACTGAGGCTGAGGCTGAAGCAGGCTGAGGCTGAGGATGAGGCAGGCTGAGGCTGAGGCTGAGGCAGGCTGGCTGAGGCTGAGGCAGGCTGAGGCTGAGGCTGAGGCTGATGCAGGCTGCGGCTGAGGCAGGCTGAGGCTGAGGCCGAGGCTGAAGGCAGACTGAGGCTGAGGCTGCAGCAGGCTGAGGCTGAGGCTGAGGCAGGCTGAGGCTGCTGAGGCAGGCTGGCTGAGCAGGCTGAGGCTGAGGCTGAGGCTGATGCAGGCTGAGGCTGAGGCAGGCTGAGGCTGAGGCCGAGGCTGAAGGCAGACTGAGGCTGAGGCTGAAGCAGGCTGAGGCTGAGGCAGAGGCAGGCTGAGGCTGAGGCTGAGGCAGGCTTATGCTGAGGCAGGCTGAGGCTGAGGCTGAGGCTGATGCAGGCTGAGGCTGAGGCAGGCTGAGGCTGAGGCCGAGGCTGAAGGCAGACTGAGGCTGAGGCTGAAGCAGGCTGAGGCTGAGGCTGAGGCAGGCTGAGGCTGAGGCTGAGGCAGGCTGATGCTGAGGCAGGCTGAGGCTGAGGCTGAGGCTGATGCAGGCTGAGGCTGAGGCAGGCTGAGGCTGAGGCCGAGGCTGAAGGCAGACTGAGGCTGAGGCTGAAGCAGGCTGAGGCTGAGGCTGAGGCAGGCTGAGGCTGAGGCTGAGGCAGGCTGATGTTGAGGCAGGCTGAGGCTGAGGCTGAGGCAGCAGGCTGAGGCTGAGGCAGGCTGAGGCTGAGGCCGAGGCTGAAGGCAGACTGAGGCTGAGGCTGAAGCAGGCTGAGGCTGAGGCTGAGGCAGGCTGAGGCTGAGGCTGAGGCTGGCTGAGGAGGCTGAAGGCTGAGGCTGAGGCTGAGGCTGAGCAGACTGAGGCTGAGGCTGAGGCTGAGGCTGGCTGAGGAGGCTGAGGCTGAGGCTGCAGGCTGAGGCTGAGGCAGGCTGAGGCTGAGGCCGACGGCAGACTGAGGCTGAGGCTGAAGCAGGCTGAGGCTGAGGCAGAGGCAGGCTGAGGCTGAGGCTGAGGCAGGCTGATGCTGAGGCAGGCTGAGGCTGAGGCTGATGCAGGGTGAGGCTGAGGCAGGATGAGGCTGAGGCCGAGGCTGAATGCAGACTGATGCTGAGGCTGAAGCAGGCTGAGGCAGGCTGAGGCTGTGACTGCGACTGCCGTTGCCGCTGCGACTGTCATCGCGAATGCGACTACGACTGCGAGAACAGCAGAATTCTACAACTGGATTCTCATCTGAATCTTAAGGGGAATGCTTCCAGATATGCTCCTACACATCGCTGTTGGGTTGCTTCGCCGGGATAATTTATCCCAAACGGTGTACTGACCCGAAAAAGAGTCAACGGCATAGGACTCCTCGGAAAAAATTTTCGGGTAGGCATCGCAGTGGTGGGCGGGAGGTCGTCCAGAGGAGGCCGGCCTTCGCCACAGCAGGGCAGGCACGCGGAGCTGGGCGCTCGAAGTCCCCCTGGGGATGCGCTCTTCGAGTAGGCCTGGATGAATTCCTCCAGGGCTTCAAAAACGCGCAGATAACTGCGTGTTTTTGGAGCCCGATCCGGCTTACAGAACTAGGAGTTTTTGCAGCCGGATCCGGGTTAAGAGCGCGTGTTTTTGAGGGTGTTTTTGAAGCCGGATCAGGTTTCAAACACACGCAGGCTGGGTGCTCGAAGTCCCCCTGGGGACGCGCTCTTCAAGTAGGCCTGGAACGGCATGAGCTCACGGGCCACTGCTGCGTGCAGCCGCTCCGCGCCCTGCTCTACCTGAGCGACGAGGGCTCCGACTTCGGCGGGGGCAGCCTGCTCTTCCACGACCCCGACGCCGACCGCTCCGTGGCCCCGGCGGTGGGGCGGCTGGTGGCGTTCACGTCCGGGCTCTCGGAGGCCCCGAAACGCGTCGCAGCCAGGCGATTTCTCAGAAGGAAAAGAACACGCAGACACAAGTAATCGTCGATTCCCGAGAAGATATTGGAAAACGGGAGAGTATCAAAAATTACTCATTGCGTGGAGCTCCCCATATGTGCATCTCATGTTTTATGTCATGCTGTGGTGAGCGTCTGTTCATGAGCGGTCGACTACAATAGCGCGTCCACGCGGGCGACAGGGCCGACGAAAACGAGTGACCCCTAATGCGAGTGATTGCGTATGAGTCAGAGTGAGCTTTGAGTATGGTTGAATGCGAGCCTTTTCCTCTTCATCCCCCCTCCTCAGCTGCCAGGCTCCTCAGCCCGTGGTAGCTCTGGAGCTTCCCACATGTGCATATGTTGTAGGATAGTTGGCAGTGGGATATGTAAGACGAGCGTTTAGCCACACAAGGCCATAAGTGCATGTCATGTTGGAGGATAGTGCCACGGTGACCATTTATCTACCGTGCAACCACCCCTGGCGGCTCCCCATAGGGGTGCTGCAACCAGCGCCCCGCTTGAGACATGAGTAAGTCCGACAGGAGGGGAGGAGAAAAGAGGAGGAGGGAGAAGAAGGAGTAGGAGGAGTCCAAGTAATAACAAGAACCCCATCAGGGGTGTTGAAACCAGCGCCCCACCTGAGACATCCTCACAATCTGCTATCCAAGCGAAGGATGTTGGGCCCGGAAACAAGCAAGCCGCTTGAGACATCCCCACAAAATGGCCGCGAACGAGCCCGTGCAAACACCCCTGGCGGCTCCCCTTAGGGGTGCTGAAACCAGCGCCCCGCCTGAGACATCCTCACAATCTGCTCTCCAAGCGAAGGATGTTGAGCCCCGGAAACAGGCAAACCGCCTGAGACATCCCCACAAAATGGCCGCGAACGAGCCCGTGCAACCACCCCTGGCGGCTCCCCTTAGGGGTGCTGAAACAAGCAAACCGCCTGAGAGCTGAGAACACAAAGCCCAGAAAATGGCCGCGAACGAGCCCGTGCAACCACCCCTGGCGGCTCCCCTTAGGGGTGCTGAAACCAGCGCCCCGCCTGAGACATCCTCACAATCTGCTCTCCAAGCGAAGGATGTTGAGCCCAGAAACAAGCAAACCGCCTGAGACATCCCCACAAAATGGCCGCGAACGAGCCCGTGCAACCACCCCTGGCGGCTCCCCTTAGGGGTGCTGAAACCAGCGCCCCGCCTGAGACATCCTCACAATCTGCTCTCCAAGCGAAGGATGTTGAGCCCAGAAACAAGCAAACCGCCTGAGACATCCCCACAAAATGGCCGCGAACGAGCCCGTGCAATCACCCCTGGCGGCTCCCCTTAGGGGTGCTGAAACCAGCGCCCCGCCTGAGACATCCTCACAATCTGCTCTCCAAGCGCAGTGTGTATGAGTAAGTCTGGGTATGAGTGAGTCTGTGTATGAGTACGTCTGGGTGTGAGTAAGTCTGTGTATGAGTAAGTCTGTGTATGAGTATGTCTGAGTGTGAGTAAGTCTGAGTATGAGTAGGTATGAGTATGAGTAAATCTGAGTATGAATAAGTCTGTGTATGAGTAAGTCTGAGTATGAGCACGTGTGAGTATGAGTAAGTCCGACAGGAGGGGAGGAGAAAAAAGGAGGAGGGAGTAGGAGGAGTAGGAGGCGTCCAAGTAATAACAAGAACCCCATCTTAGGATATGGGGAAATATTGGCAATCCTGGGATTTGTGTCTAACCTGGGCCCCTTCATCATCGTCGGGTGAGTCGGAGGCGATTCGGGCCCAGACATGCTCGCGTCGTGGAAAAAAACACGACGGACGTTTCCGGGCCGTTCGCGGCCTCTGGGGACCCTCGCCGGGCCTCGGGGGCATCGAGAAACGGGGCAGGAATGGAAGACCGGCCCTCAGGAAAGGCTCGGGACTTCCGGGAGACCGCGCACTGAAACAAAAAATCAAGGCGTCGCACGATCGGGGGGGGCGAGCCAGGGGCGGGCTCGCTGCCGTCCGCCCAGACGGCGGTGATTCGCCCCCTCTTCCCCCCCGCGGGCCCACTCTGTCCACCCGGGCAGGGAGGCCCCGCTCTCCTTCATCTCGACATGCGCCAGTTCGGTGCCGACCCCTTTCTCGCGGCTCCGCCCTCCCCTCCTGGCCCTGCTGGGTCCCTGCCTTCGACCGACTCATCCTTCGGGCGAAGAGAACTATGCACATGCATCGATTCTGGCCGGGCCCATCTTGGGCCCAGGATCGGTGCATATGCCTTCCTGGCCAAGGCAGAAGGGCATGTGCACCGATCCTGGGCTCAGGGTGGGCCTGGTCAGAACCGGTGTATGTGCAGAGTTTTTTGTTCACTAATCCTGTCCACCTTGGCAGCTGGAGCCCTCCTGGTGCCCCGCTGGGCGCGCGCTGGCGCCCTCCCGCCCCGTGCTGCAGCGCCTGGCGACGCCGCTGCTGCCCGGCACCGCCGCCCCGCCTGCGGGCCTCCGCGGGCGGGCCTTCCTCCTCCTCCTCCTCCTCCTGCGGGCCTCCGCGGGCGGGGCTTCCTCCTCCTCCTCCTCCTCCTCCTCCTCCTCCTCCTCCTCCTCCTCCTCCTCCTCGTCCTCCTCCTCGTCCTCCTCCTCCTCCTCCTCCTCCTCCTCCTCCTCCTCCTCCTCTCCTCCTCCTCCTCTCCTCCTCCTCCTCCTCCTCCTCCTCCTCCTCCTCCTCCTCCTCCCTCCTCCTCCTCCTCCTCCTCCTCCTCCTCCTCCTCCTCCTCCTCCTCTTCCTCCTCCTCCTCCTCCTCTCCTCCTCCTCCTCCTCCTCCTCTCCTCCTCCTCCTCCTCCTCCCTTCTCCTCCTCCTCCTCCTCCCCCACCTCCCCTCCTCCTCCTCCTCCTCCTCCTCCTCCTCCTCCTCCTCCTCCTCCTCCTCCTCCTCCTCCTCCCAATCCTCCCCCTCCCCCCTCCTCCTCCTCCTCCTCCTCCTCCTCCTCCTCCTCCTCCTCTCCTCCTCCTCCTCCTCCTCCTCCTCCTCCTCCTCCTCCTCCTCCTCCTCCTCCTCCTCCTCTTCCCCCTCCCCCGCTCTCTCGCCCTCACTCCGCGCGCCGCCATGCCGATGGACAACTGCTCGCAGCCTGCGCTGCTGCCCTGGGCCCGGTTTCACCGCCCGCCGCCGCAGCGGCCCATCTGCCGGCTGGGCACTCCGCACCCGCCTCCGTCCCTGGGGACGCACCGCCAGCTGCTTTTGGCTTTGGCACCGTTCGCATCGCATCCTGTATCTTTGGCAGTCCCAGTATCCGTGCTGCGCCCCGCCGCCGCTGGGCCCTGGCGCAGCAGCCCCCGCCTACCCCGCCTACCCCGCCGGCGGGGCTGGTCGTGCCACTTGCTCCGAGCGTGACCCGTCCCCCTGGGCGCCCCTCGCTCCTTCTCTCCTCCTTCGGCCGCCCTCCCTGTCTCCTTCCATTTTCCTGCGTGGTGGCGCAATTCGCTTCAACGGCATCCCCGTCGTGATTGCTCTTCCGCCAGCGCAGTTACTCTGCCTAGCCGCCGACGCGAAAATGTCTTGGGGGTGGGCGAGCGAGCGAGCGAGCGAGCCGTGCGCCAGACGACGCGCGAGCAAGGTGGAGTAGAGCGCCGCGCCGTCGAAGTGCGGCGCTGCCCGGTGTTGTCCTGACGCCCTGGATCATTGCCCGCTCACACCCTGTGAGCCGATAGTATTTGGATTCGGGTCCCCGCGATCTCCAGCTTCTGCACCTTCCGCACGAGGTGCTGCGCCGCAGCGGCCGCCGCCGCGGCTGCAGCGGCGGTGGCGGCCGCCGAGGCCGCACCGGGGGCCTCATTCGTCGATGGCACCTGCCACGCAGAAGATGCAGACAATGATATCCGAGGTCGTTATCCGAGGATGCTTCCTGCTCTCACGGCTTCCAAGATCCCACGTCCGCCGGATCAGGGGCCGTTCGGCGTGGAATTTGGGGAGACTCCAGGCCATCGGGCGGCCTGTCACTGGACGGCTTTGAGACCAAACGTACCCCAGGGCAGACGTACACGGGAGAGGGGGCCATCAGGGCCGCATCGGGGCGCCCAGAGGCGGAGTTTTGGCGCTTGTTGTGGCTGGCGGCGTGGTCATTGCGACGCCTCACTGGGGGTATGTTGCCCTGGGTGAAGGAACACACTAACACAGAAACAGACTTAGACTTTCGAAGCCCCGCGCAGGTTTCCTGGGTCGGCGCTGGGCCCTCTGACGGCGCCTTTAGCACTGCCCCTGGCGTTCTCCGCGCGCCAGTGTGGGGGGTCTAGCGCAGACCCAAGAGATCCGCGCGGAGCTCCGAATGTTTATACTTGTGTTGTTTATCCCTCTACTGGGGGGGCGACGCTTGGGCCCTCCCAGACGATCGGCGTGCCCAGGGGGGAAGTGAAAAGGGGGCAGGCCTGCTCAGAAGGCGGCGGGGCTTCTCAGAAGCACTCCCGCCTTCTGAGAGGCCGCCTCTGTCCGTCGGAGAAGCCGAGAAGCCTCAGAACGTTTCTCAGACAGCCCCCCCTGGCCCGCCCCGTGGGCTCGCCGCCGAAGCGAGGCTCGAGAACCTCCACAGCGCGGAGCCGCTGCGCTGGGGCTCCCGCCACCTGCTCGCCGTGTGGTTCTCTCGGCGACGCAGCCCGGCCGCGGCTCCGGGCGCCCAGCAGG